GGAGTTTCTGCGCTCGCCTGCTGAAAGACACATCTTAGATTCCTAGAGTCTTTCATCTTGTTTTATGTTTGAACAACTAAATGAATGCTTAGGTCATTTAACTGATTATACATTAAAACATCGATGTTGTAAAAGGAAACAATATGAAATTGAAAATGATCACATTAAGCTTCCACCGGAAGAAAAACCCTAGCTGTGCATATACCCCATTGCACACATTGTTTGCTCAGAAAGGCCTGCGTCACAGACGAGGTTCAGACCAGCTTGATCTCACGAGGAAACAAAATTTATTTTACGTTTGTCAGGTTAGTGGCCAATTCAGTCATATGAAAATATATATTTTTAAAAGGAGGCATGCCACTAAAGGCCACCCATTATTGGGGGTAAGCAAATCATACTAAATTGTAAGAATGAGATTATACAAATTCATACAAATTAGCTACTAAATAAAAAAACTTACAAATTGCTGTGAGATGGCGTTTGTTCAGACAGAGAATGGCCCGTAAACATCAACAACATACTTTCTTTATTAAATTGGTATTTAAATTACTACCTGTACTATAAAGTCATGTCTCTGGTGATATCTGTAAATTGTGAGGTCATGGACGAATTTTGGGGAGTGGCGGAAGAAAGTGAACATTGGGTGTCCGTGTGAAGAGGGGGATCAGTAAAATGAGGTGCCGGATCAGATTTCAGAGGTTCCAGATCCGGCTTGTTCCAGCACAAATTAAGTCCTGGATGTAACATGTTATGTATGTGATGTGATGAGGCGGCCCGTGTGGCAAGTCTCTGGCTGGCGGTAATATTGCCAGACCTGGCCCGAGTGTATTTTGCTCTCTGGGATTGAAGTGATGATGTTGTCTAATGCATGTTTATGGAGGTATAGCTTTGAAAAGTGGGATGAAAGCTTTTAGTGCTATCAGGCTAACATTAGCATTTTCAAGATCTCCAATTTCGCCTTTAACTTAAAATTTGTATATGTAAAAAGTGAAATCCTGAGTTCTTTCCCTCAAAAATCTAAAGTATCTTGCAAATTCAAGTTACAAACACAATTTTGAATGTAAAAGATCTCAGAACTCACATCCCGCAATTCAATCTAATCTAATTTTATACAGTATCCCACAAGTAATAATTTATTAGCTCACAATTATGACTTTTTCTCACCGAATTGCCAAGTCACAATGGGCTTCCAATAGATATGCGAAGGAGAAGATAAAACGGTACCTGTGTTAATGTTGCCAGCACCTTTTTCCCCGCAGGGGAAATAAAAGTAGGACACAAGCCTCTGGAGCTACTCTCTCTCTCAGTTTTAGAAAGTCACTGTTGTCAGACGTCTGTGGCATAACACCTTTTTTTCTGAAAAAGTCTCACAGTTCTGAAGCAGTTTGTAACCCACATCACAGAGGCGTTCAAGTCCTTTTCATCAAACCTACAAGGAATAGTTCACCTAAAAGAAATAAAAGCGGTAACATTTCTTGTTGAATGCGTCGTCATCGTCGAGATGAGAAAATAATGGCGGAGCTTTCATTTCGAGTAAACTACTCTTTAACAAGAACGAGCACTTCTGAACATTAGTAGAAAATCCATTAATCTTACAAAAGAAATCATGCAAATAATCTACAGGTAAGTGAAAACAATGTAAGTCCCTTAAATCTACACAGTAAATGAAAACTGAGAAAAGATATCAAATGAAAATACAACATCATTCAATACAAGCATCCGAGTCCCACTGTTCACAATAAGAGATCGCTATCATCACAAATGATCACTGTACACTGAAGATGAAGTAACACTTACATATCCACTAAATCAGCAAAGGCAGTATATAAATAATGCTTGAAATATAAATGACATTGCATCTAGTTTCCGTTTTTACTCCTATATTGCATCAATACTTAATAAAATACAAAAATGCATAACGTTGTGCCATTGCTTTGAATATTGAGAGGCGAGGCAGCATTTTGTTTTCGTCCGAATGCTTCATTTGCATTCAACACTGAGGCTAAAGCATTGGGCTTAAAATAATAATGCGTCCATCTTGTGGCCACTCAGGGAACTGCAGAACCTCACTTGTTATATTATTAGCACGATAGCAGCCATTTTCCCCTCTTTTTTTTTTTTTTTTTTTTTTTTTTTTGCTTGATTAAATAGAAATCACTGTTTAACTACTCTACTGTACTGTACCATAAACTACTGCTACATTAAACGCACAAACTAATCAAAGCTAAAACTGGTTCTTGACCAACACAGAATTTATCAAGTCAGTATTTTGGCATGGACCTCAGACAGGTAACATTTCTCATGAAGACATATTTACTATGTTTTTTAGTTTTACCTAATGGATTTTTTTATGAGAAAATTCCATCATTATTAAATCACCCTCGTGTCACTGCAAAGAAACATGACTTCAGTTTAACTCAAGAAATCATTTATGGTGCGTTTACACTTGGCAGGTTTGGTTCAATTTAAGCCAACTCATTATATATTGCTATTTATGTTTTCTTTCACACACATTAGGGCATGTTGCAGCACATAACAATGTAAATGTAGCTGTTTCTGACTGTTTTAGGAATTATTTTTGATGTTTTATACTTCATTTCATTTAAATCAGGGGTGTCAAACTCAATTCCTGGAGGGCCGCAGCCCTGCTTCAACACACATAGTTGTTCATATCACACAAACCTACAGCACTCAATTAGTTTGATCAGGTGTGTTTAATTAGAGTTAAAACTAAACTGTGCAGAGCTGCGGCCCTACAGGAGCTGACTTTGACACCTGTGACTTACATTTTTGTCATGTTCCACAATATGAAGTCATACATTTTTGTAACAGTATGAGAAGGAATAAATGATGTAAATGAGCAACACTCTCTAGTTAAATACACATTTAAAACTCCCCAAAACACTTTCAATTTAAATTAAATTAACTCAAGTTGTGCTAATATTGCACAGCTGCTTTTACAAAGTGTCAGTACTTTTTTAAACACACAAACATTGCTGTTCAAACATTTGGGGTCAGTTTTTTTGTTTTTCTTTTCAAGAAACTATTATTTTAATTTAGCAAAGATGCACTGAATTAATTCAAAGCTACACTGTAAAAATATATATGTTAATTAACTGTTTCTGCATTAACAGCTTTCCATTTATTTGCGGTTGTGAATTGCATCATGTGATCTTGATCTCTGCTCTGTCGACTTTTGATGTTGAAAATCTCTAAACAGTTTAACATTTTGATTGACATTTCAGTAGTTTGAAATAATATAATGTATAAGAAATAATATAAAGATAAGTCTGTAAAATAACAAAATGTACTGGTAGTTTATAACCAGGTTTTTGTACTGTAATATATAACACCAACGCCAGACAATATATCACTTTCAACTAATAAAAATGTTAACAAAAGTCACCTTTTCCTACTTGTCAAGGCGAAACGTTCTTGGAAGAAAGATCAAGGTCCCAATGCAATTCACAAGCATAAATAAACATAAAAAATAAAAACATGAATCACAAAATACGGAAAAACTGCTAATTTACGGATATGTTTTACTGTACCATAAAATCATACCAAATAAAGGCCATTTTTGCATTCATCAGTAGCCCCGTTTCCACTATTGCGCCTAAAGCGAGCGTACATTGCGAGCCAGGGTCAGTTGCGTTTCCACAGTACTTCCGGGGCCTGATTAGGCCAAAGCGAGCCTTCCTACCAGCCTTTCTCGGCCGGCCGAATACCTTGGGCCAAAAAGGGCCAGCTGGGGCTTCGGAGTGGAATAAAAGCATAGGCAGAGTTTGCCCGAGTCTGGTAAAGATGGCGTGCCGCCCCTATGCTAGATTCCAATCGCACACACGAGTACATGCGGCATATTATTTGCGATTATATTATGGATGGTCATCCCTCTGTTAGTGGCGAGACCACTTGATTCACAATGCCAACAGTCACTCAGCAAGAAAACGAATATAATGAATGAAAATACATAGGCCTGAGTGTATAGACATTTAATGTAATAATGTACAGTATCGTGTTATTTGTTAGCTTCGGTTGTCTCTATTTTAATCGTTTCGTGATGATGCGATGTGCTTTACCTGCCTGATTCTTGCTGAACTGGGCGGTTTGTGTGATGTTTGAATTGGGGGATGTTCATGGGGTGGGGTTTGCGTGCTGCGTTGCGAGCTAGTCTCCTGAAAGTGGAAACGCAACATGATTTCGGCTAAAGCTGGGCGATAAAATCGGTATCGATATTTATTGACTGAAAACCATTGTCAAGAACGCTAGAAATATATTTGGTGCTATAGTTATTAAAATGTGGCTGCTGAGAAAGCGACTTGGAAGCAATGATTCAGCAATGACTTGTACGTTTGTCATCCTCTGAGAAAATTGTTGATGGTCACATAATTACGAGAGACACCAGGGGAGTGCGAGCACAAAGTCCATTGTAAATGGTCAAGGAATCCACGCGCATGACCTTGTCACTTCAGGCTAGAATAACAACACATGCGAAAATGAGTGTCGTATAGCAGCAGTGAAGACGTAAATAAAAAAGGATTTAAGGATGTCGCCAGAGGGGCTTTTTGGTTTCTTTTATTGTGCATCCCAGCCACTAGCACCACATCTGAAAGGTTTTTTAGCATAGGGGGTAATGTAGTCATTCAACTTTAATTTGTAATGTCGCAATATGTATTTGAATAATGATGGCTGATAGCTTTACTTGAAAGCTCAGATTTAATGATCATAATTTCTTCTGTTGACAGAGTTTGAGGTTTACTGTCTCATTATTATTCGCACCCTAATGTTTGCTTTGATTGTTCAGTATTTACGCTTTACCATTGCACACACTTTGTAATATTTTATTTATCGTTTAGGAGTCTCTTTAACACTTGTTTATTTTATTAAAGCGAGATCAGATATTTAGTTTAAAAATTTTTGTTTTTGACTATTAAAATTATTTCTCTTAGTAATGTTGGTAAATTAAAATAAAGTGGTTAAATGTGGTAAAAATCCTAAATACCTTGTTAAAAATATTCAATAATTATCTATTTCGAATGGTTTGAAACATGATATCGTGATAATTTCTTTACATTATCGCCATGCCCTAATTTCGGCATCACGGCTCAAGCTCCTGGGCCCGACAGTGAAAATGCGGCTAATGTATCCTGTAAAAAGTGTATAATTTTCCCCAAAATATCAAGCAGCACAACTGGTTATTACCATCGATTATTATGAGAAAAATTTTCTTCAGCAACAAACAAATCAGCATAGTTGGAATGACTTCTTCAGCATAATGTGACCCTATAGACTGGAGTAAATGATACTGAGAGAAATTCAGTTTGCATTCCACGAAAAGATTCTTAAATTATATTCAAATACAAATCAGTACTAATATTAGAATTAATATTCAAATAGAAAACATTATCATCATTTGTAAAAATCGTATCAAATAAATGCAACCATGCTAAGCTTAAAAAAAGTACAAATATACCCCAAACATTAACATTAGCACAGGTCTCCTGTTTGTAGTTTCTTGTACCGTATTATATCTCAGTAACACAAACAGCAGAGGGAGCCGTTTTCTTCCTACCTACAGATCACTGTGAGTTTCCTGGGCGTTTGTGAAGTTTGGCACTAGGGGAAGGAATGTAACGCTGGCCCGACTGAGGCTCTTGCTGGTGTCCGAACAGAAAGGTGTGCTTTCCGCTGTTCCTCTGAGCGGGTCTGGGGGGGTCGGATGCCGTCCGCTGGGGTCTGGGAGGAGCAGAGGATTGGGCTGCTCCTCGGCTGGACGGCGCCTGCTGCTGCTGCTGTTGAGAGACTCGAGAGGAAGAGAAGAGGAAGGTACCATTGTTGGCGTTCTGGTTGAGGTTGGACTCTGGTCTTCGGGCCTCCTGGTGTTTGATCTGGTTTTCAGGGCGTCTGTTTGAAGCCTGAGCCAATTTCTCTCGTAGCTGCTGCACTTCCCAGGCCAGCTGATCTACTGGATGCTGCGTGCAGGATGACACGGGGTGAGAGAACGCCTGCAGGACAACACAGAGAGACATGTTACTAATATAGCATCTGTCTGTCTGTTTGTCTGTCTGTCTGTCTGTCTGTCTGTCTGTCTGTCTGTCAGTCTATTCATCCATCCATCCACCTATTCAACCATTACTGTAAATTCATCTATTTATTTATCTGTCCTTCCTTCCATTCAACCATCACTGTATATCCACCTATTTACCTATCCAGCTATCTGTCTGGCTGTTCGTCCCTCCATCCATCCATCTATCACTCTATACCCTTCAGTTTAACTATCCGTCTGTCTAGCTGTCCATTCATCCGTCCATTCCTTTATCCATCCATCCATCACTGTATATCCATCTATTTAACCTTCGTCCGTCTACACCAATCCATCCCTCTATTCAATCTTAACTGTATATTCATCCTTTTATCAATAATTACATCCTTCATATCAGTCCATCCATCCATCGCACCATCCATCCATCCACATATTCATCCTTATATTGTTCCATTACTATTTCTGTCAATTCATCCATCTATTTATACATCCATAATCAATTTCTCTGTATATCCAGCAGTCAATCTATCCCTCCATTTATGCATTCTTCTCTCCATCAGTCCAATTATCTACAACCACTTACTCATCCATGCTCCATTTTATCCATCCATCCAAATCTAGCAATGTTCCTCTGTCTCTGCATTCTTCCATCCATCCATTCATCCATCCATCCAACTCTGTGAATGCATTTTTCCATCCTTCCTTCCTTCCTTCCTTCCTTCTTTTCATCCATCCATCCATCCATCCATCCATCCATCCATCCATCTATCCATCTGTTTGACCTTCATTCCATATCCATCTATTCCTGCATATCATCCTTCATATTGTATATTATTCTATCCTTCAAATTTCATCTATGCATTCTTCCATTCATTCGTTTGTCCATCCATCCATTTGTCCTTCCATCCATCATCACTATCCATCCATCCATGTATATGCATTCTTCCATCCTTTCATTCATTTATAGAGGTTACTATCTAGTAGTCTAATTTATATACTATTTATATTCATATACTATCAAACTAACATTGCTTTGAAATTTATTTAAAAAAATCAATATAAGAGACAAAAAATGCTTGTTTGGAGTTCATTATTTCCTTCTATTATATATATATATATACATATACATATGCATACATACATACATACACACACACACACACATCTAAATAAATGATGACAAAACATTTAACAGAAAAATCTGCCAAAGGTCAGGACTCTGTCCTTATTTGCATATGATTGCCAATACATCCATCCATCCATTCATTTACCCATCCATCCATCCATCCATCCATCCAATCATAACTGTATATTTATCCTTTTATCAATAATTACAACCTCCTATCAGTCCATCCATCCATCCATCCATCCATCCACATATTCATCCTAATATTGTTCCATTTCTATCTGTCAATTCATCCATCTATTTATACACCCATAATCAATTTCTCTGTCTATCCAGCAGTCAATCTATTCCTTCATTTATGCATCTTTCTCTCCATTAGTCAGTTTATCTACATGTCTGCCTACTCATCCATGCTCCTTTTTATCCATCCATCCAAATCTAGCACTGTTCCTCTGTCTCTGTATTCTTCCATCCATCCATCACTCTATCCATTCATCCATCCATTTCTCTCTGAATGCATTCTTCCTTTTATCCATCCATCATCCATCCATTGATCAGTTTGACCCTAATTCCATATCCATCTATTCCTGTGTATGCATTCTTCCATTCATTATGTTTTTTCATTCATCCATTTGTTTGTTCATCCATCCATTTGTCCATCCATCCATCATCACTATCCATTCATGTCCTACAACTATGTGGACACCTATTTATTGTACATATCGCAGTCAATTTTAAATTGTCCTGTTTTTTTGGGAGTGTGCTGTTGTATTTTGCACTGTCGTTGTATTTGCACTGTCTGTATTTTGCATTTTATTTGCACTGTCTGTCTGGAGCCAGCACCTAAGCTTTGCACTCATCATAGCACACGTGCTGATGATGTGACATTAAAAGTGATTTGATTTGATCGATATACATTTTCCATTTATGCATCCTTCTATCCATCCATGTATATGCATTCTTCCATCCATTCATTCATTTATAGAGGTTACCATCTAGTCGTCTAATTTATATACTATTTACATTCAAATACTATTAAATTTACATTGCTATGAAATTTATTTTAAAAATCCATTAAAGACACACATATGATTGTTAGTAGTTCATTATTTCAATATATATATATATATATATATATATATATATATATATATATATATATATATATATATATATATATATATATATATATATATATATATACATACATCTGAATAAATGATGACAAATCATTTAACAGAAAAATCTGCCAAAGGTCAGGACTCTGTCCATATTTGCATATGATTGCCAAATATGACTGCCTGTTTATATTAACATGTCTGCAAATTTAAAGCATTTGGTCAGCAGCTCATATCTGTAAAAAAAAGTATTACATTTAATAAAAGAGCCACAGAAAGTTCGTAATTAGATGCAACATCTCTACAGTATCTTCTGGATTCTACACAAACAGAGTACATATAAAAAAAGCAGCAATGATGTGCAAAGATTTCTTGTAAATGAATAAATGCATGAACGTACACCGCAACAAAAGAAGAAAGAAAAGCATCACAGTGCACCTGAGCATGCAGTGCTCCTCTTAAATAGCAGCTCCTCCAGACTCTGACACAGGGCCCTAAGAGCAGGGGGAGCAGGGGCTCGTAGGGATCATGAAGGATCGTGTTGTTCTCTGAAGGTTCAGAGAGCGAACAGGCTCTGATGAGACGCTCCAGTCCAGACAGACTCTCAGAGGATGGAGCCCTGCGGTGGCTTTTCCAGTACGAGCCAGAGTTGCTACTCCTCCAGGGAAGCAGGTTGGAGGGATGGGAAAATGTGCTTCGAGACAACAGGAACACAGAACCCGGCAGACCGTCATTGTGCTGAATGAGGAAGAGAAAAGAAGTAAACTGGTCAGAAACATTATTACAAACCATCTTGTAAGAAATGAGTCTGCCTCAACCCAACTTCCACTCTCATTGGAGTGTCCTCCAAGCAGGTGAATGGGCTAGACAACTACCTGTAGGACACACTCCTCCTGTCTTAACTCACCAGACATTTTGTTAGAAATACTCACATGCTTTACATGGTTGTTTCTATGTTTGTTTTTAAAACTGCTATTTTCAATTATAGCACCTAATTTTTGCATTGATATTTACGATCTTGTTTAAAAACATTCTGAACAGCAGCTATGCTTAATATTTTTTTTTTGTTCTCTATTTCCAAGTGGGGATGCCCATCCCGAGGCCACTAGAGATTGTGCAGCACCATTGATGTGATCCAAGACCTGTGAAGAGATCCTGGACCAGGCAGTTTCCTGAGCAGATGCTGTGGCGGTCATGTTGTAGTGGAGAGCATGAGAGTGATTCCTGAAAGACCCCAGTGACAGACAAGTCTCCGCATTGATCCTGTGGGCCAGCCTGAACCCCCACCGGAGAACTACACACACGTGTAGCTTCTCCATAATGGGCGTCCAGAGTTCTTCAGCTTCCGCTGCCTAGACTGCAGCTCTGCACTAGACGTTTGGCCAGAGGAGAAATGGTCACACCCGACTGAGTCTCAGTTCATCACTTGGGCTGCATCCGAAACCGTCTACTACTCAGTAGGTACACCATTTGAATTGAAATGTACTACTCGGCCGTTAGAAAAGTAAGTTCTATACCAGAGATGGGCAAACTTGATCCTCGAGGGCCGGTGTCCCTGCAGAGTTTTGTTCCAACACTAGTCAAACACACCTGAACAAACTAATCAGTGTCTTCAAGATCACTTGAACTCTATAGGGAGGTCTGTTTGTATAGGGTTGGAGCTAAACTGTGCAGGACACCGGCCCTCCAGGACCGAGATTGCCCACCTCTGTACTATACAGTATGAATGTGAAAAGTATGAATGGAATTCGGATGTACTACATCTGCCATTTTGACATAGTCACATGACGTACCTGCGTATTTTGCGTCGCTTCACTCCCATTCATGATTTCATTCGCGGGGCATCATGGGAGAGCGCAGCATGCATGGGATGCGCACTCCAGAATCTCGCCGGAAGTAGTAAGTCATCCGGGTACTTCTCGCATACTGTTTTTTGAATTCTATGAATTCGGACGTACTACTCGGTTCACATACTGATTTTAGCATACTGTGTAGTATGGAAGTATGTGGTTTCGGACGCAGCCTTGGTGAAGTTTTTTTCCTCGCCAGTGGCTTGCTTGGTTTGGGACTTGTGAAGCTACGCATTGATGGATTTGCTCTTCAGTGTTTGGACTTTCAACAGTGAAAATTAAACCACACTGAACTGAACTAAACTGAGCTTCAACTCTGAACTAGAACTTCTATGTTAAGCTGTGTTGACACAATCTACATTGTAAAAGGTCTATAGAATTAAAGATTAATTGAATTGAATTTCCCAAAAGGGCTGAATTATGATAACGATACTAACTGTAAGTTCCAATAAAGGGACTTTGGCCAGGATACTGGAGCTACACCCCTACTCTTTACAAGTAGTGCCATAGGATATTTAATGACCACAGAGAGTCAGGACCTCGGTCAACATCTCATCTGAAAGACGGTGCTGCCTGACAGTGTAGTGTCCCCTTCATTATACTGGGGCATTAGGACTCACACAGACCACAGGTTGAGCGCCCCCTGCTGGCCTCACTAACACCACTTCCAAAAGCAACCTAGTTTTCCCATGCGGTCTCCCATCCAGGTACTGACCAGGCTCAGCCCTGCTTAACTTCAGTGAGTAACCGGTCTTGGGCTGCAGGGCGATATAGCTGTAATAAACCGAATAAACATCTTCATTGAGATCTTCTATATCCTCATCATTTTTGTCGTACAATCATAATTGCATTATTATGTTTTCTCTTTCTTTCTCTTTTTAATAATCATATTAAGTCTTTTTCTTATTTGTGTATGTATTTATAACATTTCTAATTGTGTGTTTTATATTTTGTGAATGTATATACAGTTAAAGTCAGAATTATTAGCCCTTCTGAATTATTAGCCTCACTGTATTATTTTTTTAACAATTTCTATTAAGAATGAATAACATTGAATATTTTTCAAGCTACTAGTAATCAGCTCAAAGTGCAATTTAAAGGCTTAACTAGGTTAATTGTGCAAGTAATTAGGCAAATCATTGTATGAAAGTGGTTTGTTCTGTAGGCTATTGAAACAAAACAAATATAGCTTAAAGGGGCTAATAATTTTGAGTTTAAAATGGCTTTAAAAAATTTTAAACTGCTTTTATTCTAGTCGAAAAAAACAAAACAAATAAGACTTTCTCCTGAAGAAAAAATATTATAGGGAACACTGTGAAAAATTCCTTGCTCTGTTAAACATCATTTAGAAAATATTTAAAAAAGAAAAAAAAATCACAGAAAGGCTAATAATTTTTACATAACAACTTTAACTGTATTTATTTTTTTATGTAACCTGCAATACTTGACATATCATGCCAATAAAGCTCTTTTGAAATTAATTGAGAGAGAGCGAGAAAAGAGAGAGAAAGCGCATTAACACACTAATGAAGAAGTTGATGACCCGATTAGAAAAATGACCTAATTTTTTGGCACAGGTTTGTTAGTCGGCCTCATTTTTTAAAGAGCCTCCCTTTTGATTTCCAGCCATCTAGGGCAGCGCAGCAATATAAATCCATGATCATTAACTTGACACAAGCAATGTCTATTAGATGATAATTCATTCCTCTGCTGTATAGTGGAGTCCCAACTCAATATAGTTCCTGCTTACAATGTGAGCATGTATGAGTCTATCCGAGTACTGGGTTGTGAATGGAAGGGCATCTGCTGCGTAAAACATATGCAGGAATAGTTGGCGGTTCATTCCGCTGTGGCGACCTCTGAAATAGAGACTAAGGCGAAGGAAAATGAATGATAAATTACATCAAAAATTCATCAATATTTTAAAAAATGTGGCCAAGAATAAATAAAAAATAAATTTGGCCACCCATCACTGGGAAACATACATATACTTTCATTCACACACATACACTACAGACAATTTAGCTTAGCCAACTCAACTATAGTGCATGAGTCTTTGGACTGTGGGGGAAAACGGAGCACCTGAAGGAAAACCAACCCACACCAACACAGGGAGAACATGCAAACTCCACACAGAAATGCCAACTGACCCAGCCAGGACTCCAACCAGCAACCTTCTTGCTGGGAGGCGACAGTGCTAACCGCTGCTGATGCCCTGCTCGATTTATTTGTTTGATAAAAATTTAGAATCTAATCTGAAAGTGTTTGACAAAGATGTGATTTTCCTTGAAGATCTCAATGAAACTTGCATTCAAATGATAATAAAAATGTAATGCCTGAAGCGAACATAAAACAGCATTTTTGATTAAAATCAGAGAGTTGATTCTTTAGATTTTTTGTGTTCAGATAATCATACAAACTTACAGAAAAAGCACATGAGCTTTGCATGTTTAATTGCGTGTTAAAATCACACATGAGACACTTGAAACGAGGAACAACTGGTCTTGGAACATTTGAAACTTGATCTTAAAAGAATCTTTCCATGTATGTATGCAAACCACAAGAGCTTTGCATGTGAAATCACATGTTAAAATCACATGTGAAACAACTGCTAAACACATGAAACATGTTGGGCTCTATCATACACGCTTTGTGGACTCATGGGTGTGCTGGTCTAGAATTGAGGTGTGTTAAGGAGCGTTGTTTGCGCATTGCTATTTTGAGCAACTGAAATAGACTGTGCAATTGACCAACTTAAAAAAGGTCTAAAGTCCAGCGCAGAGTGCATCAGCTGTGCGCCTTATAAAAACCACTGCCCCCATACCTCATCTCTGTTTTTTTTCCTCAGTTTATTCATGACAACTTGCTTTTGTAAAAATGTTATTATTATTAGCAGCATTATTTATTATATGCTGATTTATATTTGTTTTAATAAAAACTAGTTTAGATTTGTCCACCTGTCGGGTTTTGGAGACGTATGCATCACTATTTAGGACATAAGAATAGGACGTTTGTTTGGTTTTTTTGACCGTTTCCTTTATCCATGAAAGTAAAGGAGTAAAGAGTAAAAGTAAAGTAAAGAGAAAGTAAAGAGGCCGAATGGAGGAGGCTCATTCTTTATCCTCGCACTGCAGATGCTCTGTTTAACTGTTTTCTCGCAAGTGAAGCGTTCAGTTTTTTCACTTACAAAGTCTGCAATGTAAATACCAAATGCGCTATTTTGGGACACAACTGCCTTAAAAATGGAATGGGAGATGAGACTCTGATTGGTTTAATGCACGATATGCTCAAAACACACCCAGAAATCATTAAGAGAATAAGCACAACCATGTTAGACCATGTGCCAGGGCGCAAAGCAAATTAATTCCATCCTTAAAATAACAAAAGTGAATGCAGACACGGCCTTAATACTTTTTGTACCATGCACTTTAGACTTTGCGCCTAGATTGTTAAAAAAGAGCCTGTTGTTTTGGACTTTTTGGAGCATAACAAGATCATTATTTTTTGGAAATATGTTTAAATAATCATACATCAAACTTTAGTTTTTCAATACGGTAGTATTGTTTACTTGAATATATGTGCAAAAAATATGATCATGTTATGTTAAAGTACACAAAATCAAAACTACCATATTTATTGTTAGCTCACATTGCTAGTTTGCGCACATTGCATGTCATTAAGAAAAACAAAACGTTTTCCCTTGTAATCTTTAATTTAAATCTGAAAATGCACTTCCTGTTTGTTTTTAGTTAAATTCATTAGATTATATCTGTCTGAGGTACTGGGCGTGGCCATACTTAATTATGCCCCCCTCCCCCCCAACTGTCAGTTTTGACAACAAACAGAAATGGTGAGGAGGAGGAGTCTGTTCGTCTGTAATAACTCTCCCCAAACCCCTTTTTCTCAATCTTTCTGAATTAAATGGCAACTTTCCAACATCCAATCAGCTTGCAGTAGAAAAAAAGCCACGCCCACTGTTGTTTCATTTAATACTCCATTTCTTTAAAAACTGTGCCACAAAACGAAACAAAAAACACTCGCAGCTTCCGGTTCATGCATAGTTTAAATGTACAGAACAAAACAACTTTGCAGCCGTTATCACATGAAACACACGTAATCATTTTGTTTTGGAACATTTGAAACTTTTTTAAGCATGAAAATGTTCCAAAACCATGCATGTTGCCTGCACATTTCTCTTTATGGAAGTAAAATACTCTGAAAGCTATGAAAAGTTGTATAAAAATGTTTTATAATGAATTTCCGTTTTCAATTATTTAAACATCAGTATCATAGCAGATATATGTTACCCAGCTGCGCTCCAGGTTGGTGTTGAGGTTTCCGTTGAGGACGGGTGGAGGGCAGGTGGGCTGTGATATGGGCTGTGTGAAGCGGGCTCGTCTCTGACTGCTGTACTGCAGAGCCCAGTCCCACACCGGGGGGAACGGAGGATCCACGGGCTCTTCTGGGACGCTCATGGGCACATCTCTCAGGCCGTTCACTGGGGTGTAGCTCTGCGGAAGATGCTGCAGGAAATAACCAAAAACAGCTTAGACTTCATGTGTGTTTTGGCTGCTAAAAGACGCCACTAATCTAAAAAACGTTTGGGTGAAAAAAAAAATATATAAATTATTAAACATTTCTCTTGACCAGGCTTGAATTAAACTAATTCAAAAGGAGTTGTGTTATGATTCTTTTATAGTGTTTTTTTATTTAGATGCATGCTGTTATGCAAAAGTCACTTTTATAAGGAGTTTAAACACAGTTGTGTGGCAACAGTGTGTGAATATAACCAGCTTATACTAGTAAAAATGTATTAATTCTATATTTTATAATCACACTTCAGAAAAAATGTCTGCAGAAACATTTTGATTGACATTCTCCCTTTGTATGTGTCATCAGTGGGGGAAAGCCCCGCCCACTAGTGATGATCTCTCCTTCATTAGCATAGACAGCTCTGAGTGAGAAGCAGTCATCCGCCATTAGAGTTTTCACACTGTACATGCTGAAGATCATGTCTGCAACAAAGATCCATGATAAATGTGGAGTTTTAGGGTGCATAAATGAACACTAGTCTCCATTGACTGCCTCCTTCTGAGACACTTCTATTGACATTTCCACACAGGTTAGTCCCGCTTTTGAATCTGCCACTTTGGTGATGCACAGGCATTTGTAGCTCCGCCCTTTCCCTTGAAAAGAGCACAATCTTATTTGAATTTAAAGCGACAGTCACTAAACAGACACCATTGGAAATGCTGGAGTAAAATAAATGTTCGAAATGTAATTTAATGCAGTGCTTCTTGAGACCCACTTTCTATTGTATATCAATCAGGCAGTGAAGATTGTTGATTTTTAAAGAAAACAGACATTAAACGCGCCGGTTTTGCAATGGCATGCAGTTGACTAAAAGTGCTTAACCCGGGTTACTGACAAATTAAAAGTCCTTCCGCATGCTTCTGCATTTACCCTATTTGGATCAAAGCTTAAAAGGGGCAGTTTTCTCAAGGAGTTATACAAAATTACTTGTGTGGTATTTTGAGCTGACACTACACACATGCACTCTAGGGACATCAGAGACTTATTGTACATCTTGTAAAAAATAAAAAAATAGGTGCCCTTTAAATGGATATTATTCTACGCAACAGACAGATATCATTCATTCATTTATTCTCCTTTGGCTTAGTCCCTTATTTATCAGGGGTTGCCACAGCAGAATGAACCACCAACCATTCCGTTATATGTTGTACACAGCGGATGCCCTTCCAGCAGCAACCCAGTACTGGGAAACACCCATACACTCTCACAGTCATACACAGACACACACACACACACACACACACACACACACACACAATTTAGCTCATCCAATTCACCTATAGTGCATGTCTTTGAACTGTGAAGGAAACCAGAGCACCCAGAGGAAACCCATGCCAACACAGAAAAACATGCAAACTCCACACAAAAAATGCCAACTGGTCCAGCTGGGATTTGAACCAGCAACCATCTTGCTGTGAGGTGATAGTGCTAACCACTGAGCTACCGTGACGCCCAGTTATCATTCAGATTTCATAAAAAAATATTTCAAACAACAACCAAAGTTTTAAGGATGTGCAAAATAATTACAGTAATTAAATAACGACTTTAAGTAAGAAAGATAATCAAATGTTTATTTTTAATGAATTAAATACAGATTTCATGATACAATAATTAAATCATATTTATAAATAGTATTTTACTGTCACATCTGCTTAAAAACTGATGTTGTCTCATAGCTAATTTCACATCACTCCATGAATTGTTCCTAAAACAATAATTCAGTATAAATACTTTTTGATCCTTTATTTAACTTGCATTCAAATATTTGAGGTCACGAAGATTTAAAACATTTTTTACACTCCTATGCTCAACAAATCTGCATTTATAAAACAGTAATTTTGTGGATTTAGAAAAAAGGTCTATGGTTCCAGTCCTGGCTGGTGTGGGTTTCCTCCAGGTGCTTCAGTTTCCCCTAAAGTCCAATGACCTGCGCTATAGGTGAATTGGATGAACTAAATTGGCCGTAGTGTATGAGTGCGTGTGTTTCTTAGTACTGGGTTGCAGCTGAAAGGGCATTCGCTGCGTAAAACATTTGCTTGATAAGTTGGTGGTTCATTCTGCTGTGGTGACCCCTGATAATAGCCTGGAATAGCCTTCCTGATAATGTCTCTCAGTTCAAAACTAGATTAAAGACCTATCTGTTTAGTAAAGCATACACTCAATGCATCACTTAGCGGGTTTCCACACAAGTTTCTACATCTTGTTTAGATACACTATGAACAGCAGCAACGCTAATTATTCTCTTTATTCTCCATTTCCACCTGGGGATACTCATCCCGAGGTCCTCAGATTATGCGGAGACACTGATTGGACCCAAGACCAGCGACGAGATGATCCCAAGGTGTCTATATCCGGGACCAGGCCGTATCCTGAGCTGCTGCTGCGCTGTTGGTCAGGGGGGAGTGGAGAGCATGAGACTGATTCCAGTGATGCTCCAGGGACAGACGAGTTTTCGCTGAGGCCAGCTTCCAGCCTCCACTGCTGAGACTGCAGCTCTGCACAAGACTTTTGGCCAGCGGAGAAATTAAAATGGTCGTGCCGAACTGAATCTGGTTCTCTCAAGGTTTTTTTTCTTCCCTCTCCTATTGGTGAAGTTTTTTTTTCCCTCTCTGCTGTCGCCACTGGCTTGCATGGTTCAGGATCTGAAAAGCTACTCATCGATGAATTTGCTCTTCAGTGTTGGAACTCTCAGTAATGACTTCAAACCACACTGAACTGAACTAAACTGAACTGAACTTAAACACTAAAAACTGAACTACCCTGATCTAGTTACTATGACCATTTATGTGAAGCTGCTTTGACATAATCTACATTGTAAAAGCGCTATACAAATAAAGCTGAACTGAATTGAATTGAATTGATAAATAAGAGACTAAGCCGAAGGAAAATGAATGAATAGGATATTGCAAAATGTTCATGCCTGCTTTGCAAAGCTGAATTTTCAGGATAATTAAACCCATCATGCTCTTTGTAATATGCTAATGTTATGTCTAAGAAACATATGTTATTATCAACAATGCTGAAAAAAAGGTTATGGTATTTTGCAGAAACCATGATTTCTAAATTTCGGATTATTTGATGGAGAGCCTTTATTTGAAATGAAAATCTTTTGTAATAAAATAAATTCAATGCTTTCAGTTTCAAACAAAAAATATCCCTATTTCTTTACTGCTTTCAATATTTGGAATGGTCTGTTGAGCATAAAGAATATATACAATCCAAACTTATGATGCTTTATTTTAAGACGACCCCCTTAAAACAAGCCACACCAGTCAAAACACAAGCCACAGTAAACAGCCGCATCCTCTTTGTGCTTATCCGTGTGTGATGTGCATACCTGAGAACGCCGACATCTCTCTCTCTGACTGTTGGCCAGGAAGCTGCTGAAGAGCGGAAGATGGACGCTGTCATGCAGAGCCAGCAGATAGTCCTCAGTGAGCTGGAATCGAGCGGGATACTGAGCCCACAGCTGCCACACGCAGTCCAGGAACAGCAGGAACACAGGGGCCTGCCGGAGAGCAAGGTGCATCACACTATACACTCAAACAAGACTCTTACTGTGAATGCAAACCAAAAGTGAAGTATCAACAAGCAACTGTTCCAGAAATGTTGATATAGGCAAATGAAACAGCTCATTTAGAAAACACTTTTAGGCATCAGGTGTCATTTTTGGCTAAATTCACTAATGTTCCTTATTTATTAAAGGGCCATGAAACCCCCTTGTTTCAGCAGGGTGTTTTCACACCTCTACTTTGGATAAAGTCCAAAAAGTGGGCGCGTCCAGCTCTGTTTAGGGGGGAGTGTCGGAGGAAGAAAAGAGACTTGGTGTGGGAGTGTCTATTTGGGCGCGTTAATTTTCAGACTCAGAGTCAAAACACACACACACAAGGGACAAAGTGACTGTGTTTACATGGACATCTGTAGTCGAATTATTTGCCAAATTATTAAACGGTGGACTTTAACTGCAGTTTGGCTCTTTGATTCAGGAAATTCATTCATGCCCCTCGCGACAAACTAGATATTTGATTCGAGGAACTGCTTTAAGCGTGTATTTTTCATGCAATGTTTGATACCGCATGGCGAATGAGAGAAAAAAAAACTCAGCATTTCCCGGAAACTTAGATGCACATGGCAAGTAGTGTCAGAAAGCCGTGTGTGTTATTCCGGTCACAAAATGCGGTAAAAATCCTACACGAGGTTAAAGTTTGGTTGTAGTGCTAACATGTTTACACTCGATACGAGCAAACTGAATAAACAAAGAGCACTGGTCGCTCACTTACCAAATCTGTAGAGACAGGACAATCACCAGCAACTAGAGCCGCGTCTTTATTAAGAGGACACTACAAGCGAATCCGGATCTCAGTGTTTGCAGATGAGAACAGCTCTCAGGTAAACAATAATCCTCCTTAGACACGTAAGTTATTGTTGTCGAGCGTCGCGCACATTGTATTCCACGTGTTACTCCAGCTGAGCTCTCACAGAGAGAAAATGAAAACAAAACTTAACTGCAGCAAACTATAAAAGCAACACTTCACGCTTGTTTTGCCAACACAACGTGGCGTCTCTGTCGTCTAAACACTGTGACAGTAATGAATATTAATGAAGTTGCACAATAGAGCGCGCTGATTGGTTTGAACCAAGCCTTACTCATGCATTAATGCATCACACTGTAAGACGTAATAAGACACACTCTGGCACAGACGTCCAGTCTGCACGCTGGAATACAACGCTATTATCTCATAGTCATGACGCAGCTTCAAAAATTTATTTCAAACCGGAAGTACGAATTTGCTTGAAATAACGCAAAAACAACCAATTTACACTTTTTAGTGAAATATAGGTGTCCTAATAGTGTTTTAAGCAGTGTGGGAAACATATACGACTGTCAACAGCTCAAAAAATGTGTTTTGATGTTTCATCACCCTTTATGGGTCACCAAAGCGGAATGAACTATTCCAGCATGTGTTTTACACAGCGAATGCACTTCCTGCTGCAACCCAGTACTGGGAAACACCCATACACACTTACATTCTCACACAATCATACACTATAGCTAATTTAGTTCACCCAGTTCACTTATAACGCATGTCTTTGGACTGCGGGGGAAACCGGAGCACCCGAACCATTGATCTTCTTACAGTGAGGCATCAGTGCTAACCATTGAGCAATCCGTTTCTATATGTGAATGCAAATAGGCTTCTTAATGTAACGTGATGTAAATAACGAGAAAGTGTGCAAGCGAATCTTTCTCTTTTACCTCCTCTTTATCACTCTCGCGGTGGTAGTTGATCCGGCTGAGGAACTTGTGTCCGGCAGTGATCCACTCTTTCTGAACCAGGCCCTGAAATCCAGCCACGGTCCGGCAGTGAGGATCACACATCACCTGAACCAAACTGCAGACCACACAGTTCATGTCCCGGTCCTCCGGCTCTGAGGAAACACAGAGGAAAAAACAATACATCATCTGAAAACAAGGCTGCAGATGAGCTTGACTTTCTAGCGCAGACGAATCCTTCACTTCACAAGACCTCATCAATGTATTGCCAGGAGCCATGGGTAATCCTTTTATTTTCCTTCTATATATATATTTTTTTTACTCGCAAAGTGTTAGCAATTACTATATAATATATAGTGCTAAGCAAAAATTAATTGTGACCAATCATGTACAAAATAAAAGTTTGTTTTGACATAATATAAGCGTGTACTATATATTCATTCATTCATTCTCTTAGGCTTAGTCCCTTTATTCATCAGAGGTCACTACAGCGGAATGAACCGCCAACTTCTCCAGCATATGCTTTACATAAAGGATGCCCTTTCGGCTGCAATCCAGTACTGGGAAACACCCATACACACTCATTCACACACATTTATTCATTCATTAATTTTCCTTCGGCTCAGTCCCTTTATTAATCAGGGGTCGCCACAGTGGAATGAACCACCAATTTATCCAGCATATGTTTTAAGTAGCAGATGACCTTCCAGCAGCAACCCAACACTGTGAAACACCCATACACTCTTGCAACCACACACATACACCATGGCCAATTTTGTTTATTCAATCCACCTATAGTGCATGTCTTTGACCTTTCCCTATCCCCCCCCCCCCCCCCCCCCCCTCCCCTTTCACGAACTGTGATGTCAAAACTAGCATTTGAAAAAAAAATACATATATACATATATTTTGACATCACAGTCAGTGAAGTGGGAGAGAGAGAGGGGGTGTGGGATCGGGAAAGGTCCACAAGCTGGTATTTCGGAGTACTCGGTAAGTCTTCTGGTACTAAGGAAGTCGTAACCACTGGGCTATCGTGCCGACATACTATGTATATATTTTTTTTGTATGTATAAATACACACATGTATGCATAAATTATATATACACTGAAATATCTACGTAACAAAATTGTTTTGCATAGATTTGTTTGTACATCTATTATGTCAAAACTAACTCTTATTTTGAATGCAATTAATCGTGATTAATCTTTGCCCAACACTAATAATATAAATATGATTTTTATATATATAGTGGAAGTGAGAATTAATAGCCCCCCTGAATTATTAGCCCCCCCGTTTATTTTTTTCCCTAATTTCTGTTTAAAGTGGGAGAAGATTTCTTAACGCATTTCTAAACATAATAGTTTTAATAACTGATTTCTAATAACTGATTTATTTAATCTTTGCTATGATGACAGGACATAATATTTGACTACATAATTTTCAAGACACTTAAAATTACATTTTAAGGCTTAACTAGGTTAATTAGGTTAACTAGGCTGGTTTGGGTAATTAGGCAAGTTATTGTATAACGATGGTTTGTTCTGTAGACTATAGAAAACATATACAGCTTAAAGAGGCTAAAAATTTTGAAATAAAAGTAATAAACTTTCTCCAAGAAAAAAAAATAGTATCAGAGACAGGCCCGGATTGGCTAACTGGGAGGACGGGGAGAATTCCCGGTGGGCCGGTCTGTTTTTTGGCCGCGAGTGCTGGTCCCTCATTTATTTATTTAGTTAGTTAGTTATTTTACCATAGTCACATACTTTTTCTTCATTCTTTCACCACAGCCCCATTTTTATTTATTTTCTTGCAGCCCCATGAGCAGAATGCAGCCTGCATTAATGATGACTTAATTGTCATTTGACTCCCCAACAGCGGCACCTTGCTCATCAGCAAAATCATTTGTTAAGAGATACGCAAGAGATGAAAAATCACGCAATGGTGGCGCTGGAAAGGCCAGAATTAAAAAAGCTGAGTATATTTTTCTTTAAAACCAGCGGCGTGTACTATAGCTCATCAGCAGCAGCACTGTTCAGTGAAGAGCCAGGCCCCGTAACGTTACCAAGCACCAGTCATGAGCCCAACACACTATACTGGGCAGGTAGGATTGAGTGAATATAAGAATTCAAATTATTTTTAATATTAATGAATAATACACCTGCTCAAAGAAAAATGCCCTGAGACAATTAATGAAATTAGAGGATTCACTACATTCATAAATCTGAATTGATCAGAAAGCTAAAAAGCGGAAAAAGACAAAGCCATCATTAGAAAGTAGTACTGTGGTTACAAATGTCTGGTAGATAACAGTACAATACTCGTTTTATTCTTTATTTGTGTTAAAAGGACTGGATATCTGTAAACTATTCTGCACAGAATATTGGAGATTTAGCTACCCTTCAATGTTCTCATATTTATGAAAAATACTTGAAGTTGTAAAGCAGCTGTTTCCATGAAAAAGACGTGATAGTGTCATTAGAAAATTCAATACATTTCATTTTAATCTTTATTTTATACATAGAGCCTAATATTTATTTGTATTTATTTGATATTTTCCATTTGAAGGTTTGGATATACAAATATAATTTTGTTCGTGCGGGCAAAAGAAAGTCGGTTGAATACCGAATAAGAGGATAATCATTCGCATCAACTGCTAATGTGATGCACGCGACTGTTTAAAACATGTGCTGCTTCAAACAACCGTGCCTGGAAACTGTTGTGATCAGTTCTCTTTCAAATAGACTAGACAAAAAGTGATGCTCATGCAGCCACAGTCCTGCTGCTTTCAAGAGCTCCAGATTGGTCTTTTTGTAAGCAGCACCGGTTGCTTTCACTTTAACCATTATTTAAACAGGATATAGGATATTAACTTCCCATTTATGTATAGTTAACTGATGTCAATTGTTTTTTTTTTTTTGTTTTTTTTTATAAATAATTATTTATTTATTTTTAGTGTGGTTAGAGATAAATTTGGTAAATCCTTTGAGCTCTGAAAAGTGATGTTAAATAAAAACTAGTTGTAATACAACACTATGAAACCATGACTCATGTGCTTATGCTCACTGAGCAAGCTCATACACAACATACACAAAAAGTCAAATGAATAAGGAGCCACGTGGACATTCCACAAAATCTAAATCGATTAATTTTAGCATGTCAAAGTCATATTTATGCATATAAAATATATTTTTCAAACAACAAAATTGTGGCTAGTGTAAATGGCGAGTGGCTGTTGTAATGTTGGAAAACTACTAGCCACAATATTAAGAATGTACTAATGTGTATACATTTCTCAAAATAACATCTGATAAAAGTCAGGTTTAATTTTTTTTTTTTTTTTTGGATAAAGGGGATTTTGGAAATGCTTTTTTTATTATAATTACTCCCGAATTTATTTATTTATTTATGTAGAATAAAGTGTTGTATATAATCAGAAAAATTATGCTTGATCAATTCACTCGGTAAAAAGAATACAGACGTGAATAAAAGTGTGAAGTTTATTGTAAGAGCTGATTTATGATTCAGTGCAGGAGAAAAACACTTACTATGAGAATAACTTAAAATATGTATCGTAATTGTATAATAAGGAAACAAATTAATGAAGTCTGCCAAAAGAAAGAAAATTCAAATGTCTATTTAAGATATTTTCTTTACATTAAAAAGATTACAATGAAAATAAACTAAATAAATAAAAGTTTTTTGCCATGTACATTAACAGATTTAGCCTGCAGCCTCTGGTTTTAAAGAGTGTGTGGGGTTTTGATGGCCCTCTCGTGGAGGAGTCTGCAGCTCTGCTCAGTTCACATGTGGTGAACAGGTTCGGCAGTGATAGATGTGTGCTTCAGGCTCTTCGGAGAAACTCATTCCTCAACTTACTCACTGCTTGTCAAGACACACTGAATATTGATGTTCATTGGAGGGCAGATACGGGTCACGTGGGGAGAAACAAACATTTTAGAGGACTGTAAAACCAAATGAGAATTTAAAGAATTGTAGGACACTGCCAGATGTCGCTATTTGTTGCTTTATGGGTTGGAAAAAAATAAATCAAAACTGTGGTGTGTTTTAAATTCTGCACAGAGAGTGTCATTAAAATGAGATGGAATCCTATTGTTTCAAACCACAGCCTTATTTAGATTAAACTATGTTTTCTAAAGATTCTTGGTCGAAATTTGCACAGGAATCAGATCCATTTCAATGGTATTTAGATCTATTTTAAAAACAAAACTGTAAATAAGTCCATAGTAAACATAATACAGAACATAAGACTTAAGATAGCAAATAAAAATGCAGTAAAATACCTACTAATCTAAACCTAAATAATAGGTATAAACAGTACATGAATAAATATGATAATGATGATTAATAATGATTATAAACTCTAGTGCAGGGGAGGCAGTGGCGCAGTAGGTAGTGCTGTTGCCTCACAGCAAGAAGGTCGCTGGTTCGAACCTCGGCTCAGTTGGCGTTTCTGTGTGGAGTTTGCATGTTCTCCCTGCCTTCGCGTGGGTTTCCTCCGGGTGCTCCGGTTTCCCCCACAGTCCAAAGACATGCGGTACAGGTGAATTGGGTAGGCTAAATTGTCTGTAGCGTATGAGTGTGTGTATGATTGTGTGTGTGGATGTTTCCCAGAGATGGGTTGCGGCGTAAAAACTTGCTGGATAAGTTAGCGGTTCATTCCACTGTGGCGACCCCGGATTAATAAAGGGACTAAGCCAGGGGTGGGCAAACTCGGTCCTGAAGGGCCGGTGTCCTGCACAGTTTAGCTCCAACTCTAATCAAACTCACCTGCTTATAAATTTCTAGTGATTTTGAAAACACTGATTACCATGTTTAGGTGTGTTTGATTAGTGTTGGAGCAAAACTGTGCAGGACACCGGCCCTCAAGGACCGAGTTTGCCCACCTCTGGACTAAGCCGACAAGAAAATGAATGAATGAATGAACTCTAGTGCAATAATGCAAGGCCATAATGATTTTCTGTAAGGGGTTGTTTTAGGGATATTGTTGGGTTTGGTATATAGAGGATGTCTTTTGGTCAGTTTAAAAACAAAAGATGTCTATGGAAAGTCCCCACAAGTCACAAAAATTTTATTTGTGTATGTGTGTATACTTGTTTATGTGGTTTACGAGGACACAACATTCTAGAGCTGTACGATTCTGGCTAAAATGAGAATCGTGATTCTTTTGCTTAAAATCAAGATCACGATTTTCTCACGATTATAGAGATGTAAAATAAAGGTTAATATGAGTAGCCTATTATTGTTCTTTCTCAAACATATGATAAAACTGTAATAATATCACGTGTAGGTCTACTGTTGGTTAAAATGCTATATTTTGAATAGACTTTAAATAATGAACTTGAACAGACTTTAAATATGTCCTGGGTCTGGTTTTTCAAAAGGTTTAATCTGGATAAAATTGATCCGGATTTAGTAATCCTGTCTTTGCGATATATGATCACGTAATCCAGCTTACTTTTTGCGCCAGTTTTTCAAAGTACTATCAGATTGGATCAATCTGATTCGGATGGGAACTTTTCAGGATCACTAAATCTGGATAACCAGCGCTCAAACAGGATAGGAAATCACAATGTAGAACTATAGATATGTAAAGAGCTACAAGTAGAATAGCCATTGTGAGGTCAATATAACTTTGTTTAAAATGAAAACGCACACATTAAAAAAAAAAAAAAAAAAAAACTAAAAACAAGAAAAACTCCATCCCCTTCTAGAAGTCCGCTCATCTGAGACCTACAACTCAAACACTACATTGAGGATATGTATAACAAGTTTCAATATGGGTATTGAATAAAAAAAAGACTTGATGTCAAAACCTCCACAATAATTTCAGTCTTCCTCATCTGATGTGGAGAGAGCAGCTTGTCTGAGCATAGCCTAGGAAGCGGATCTCAAGTCTGGCCTTGGTTTGCTGCAGATTGGTCAGAGTCAGTTGTTCATCTGCCTGATGAAGCTGTGCTTCTGCACTTTCAGTCTCTTTTTGCAATTGTTGAAAGTGATTTCAAAAATCAATAATTCTTTGCTTTTTTTTAAAAAAATATTCTAAATAAATATTCTAAAAACAAAAATATTTTACATTGTTATATATATATACATATATATATATATATATATATATATATATATATATATATATATATATATCAATTAGTGACAGAATAAATTATTTCTGTTTTTGCTCAATATATGACAGCTGATTGGGGGATTATTTTATGAGGCCAAACTCTTTCTACTTTGCTGTATGCCTATACTGAAAGGCTGAATACGTTAAAGCCTACCTAATCACCGTAGACTGACGGATGAACAATTAAATTTAAAACCTTATGAATAAACAGGATATCTTGTAAGATACTGCATGATCCAAATAGTATTACTTGATACATTTTTTTAAGTTTTCATTACATTTTGAGCATGAAATCCACGCTGAATCCACCCTTCTGATGGGATCAGTTTAATCCAGGTTTTTTGGATCAAAGTGATCCAAATCCTACAAAAAAGGTCTGAAAAACCCAAACTAAAGGTTTGAACCGGATCAAAACCAAGATTGGATTACGTGATCTAATCCAATTATGTAATCCGTTTTTTCTTTTAAAAAACATTTTCATGATTTGAACCAATCCCTTATCTAATATCCTAGTGGATAACTTTTGAAAAACCGGGCCCAGGTCATTAATGCACAGTAAAGTAAAGACATCAGAATACAACTATTCATAATTCTGATGCTGTATTATTGTCTTTGAGACATATGCTTGTTTTTTATGCTTTATTTTTATGCAGCAGATGACCTTCCAGCTGCAACCCAGAACTGGTAAACACCTATACACACACTCTTTCACACGCATACACTTCGGCCAATTCAGTTTATTTAATTCAGCAATAGCGCAAGTCTTTGGACTCTGGGGGAAATTGGAGCACCCGGAGAAAACATGGGGAGAACATGCAAAGTGCACACAGATATGCCAACTGACCCAGCCAGAGCTCAAACCAGCGACCTGCTTGCTGTGAGGCGATCGTGACACCCATCTAAACAATCCCTTTAAAACATTTGAATGTACTCCTGCATAATAAAAGTATTAATTTCAGTCAAAAACGGTTCTAATCATGTGAATGGTTGTGCAAACCTAAAGGCCAAAGGTTATATTAATCGGTGAAGTTCTCACAGTGTGTGTGTAAACAGTAAAGACTGAAGGGTGTGAAGTTCAGAGCTGCTGTTAATGATCAGTGCGACACTAACCTTGTAGAACAACAGTCATGTGTCCTGCTCGCAGCAAACAACACACCTCTGCCGCTTTCCTTAGACAGCACCTGTGGATACACCAGCACATCAAACACGTTATCATGAACAGACGATAGAAAGATTGATTTAATCTGAGTCCAAATAGTGTGATCTTTGATTTAACAGGTCAGGATTTATGCTCATGAATGTTTATACCTGGTATAGTCCAGCCAGCGAGTGCTTTCAAGTGTGGACAGCCATTTATCATCAGGTACTGACACAGATGATGAAATATCTGTAGGGAAAAGAGGGAAAACTGAATGAGAAACTGCTACTTAATAACAAAAACTGGTCAAAAGCTGACATATAATATAATAAAATACTGTGGTTCTCAAACTGTGGTACGTGGAGGAATCGCTGAATAATTAAAATAAAAAAATGAACACTTAAAGCATACGATAACACAGATGTGATCAGCAAATGGATTTTAGTAGGCTTAACCTTTTATTTTTTTCAGTTTGTTAATGTTTGTTATGTATTCTATCATTTGAAGCTAATTTCTTTCCTATATTTGTAATGGTTGTTGGGGGCGTATGCCGTATCTTTATATCCCAATGTTGACAGCTATAGTTTAATCACTTTTCTGACACACAAAGCCTACTCTAACAAGCAGATCTGATTTGTAATTTAAATAAGTAAAAATAAATCATATATTTAAAATACAAGGTAATGTTTAGATTTCAAAGATATACAAATAAGTCATATATAATGTACCATATATTTCAAAATGTATCAAAATGAGTTTATAAATGAATATGATGACATTTATGAGGTTCAAGGAACATTTAAAGGTTTTGATGAATAGGCTACTATATGTTAAAGGTGCAGTAGGTGATTGTCTTCAGAAGCATTTTTGTTGTGCTGGTTGAAAGTCTCTTCACAGTCTAATAGTACTGATTAAAGCAAGTGATCTAAATGTGTTTATATGTATTTTTATATTTTGGGTAAAGCATAAAACAAAAAAATGTTAATCCAATTAAATAGAGTCGGATCGACATCTCTCATAATTCCGATAAGTAGCCCAAATCTGTCTGTCAACAAATGCAGATTTGAACAACTGCGCAGCCATTTGTACGCAGCTCCGCCGACCGCCACACATTCATGAGAGAGAGCACGTGAGCGCACATGCGATTTGTAAAAACATGCTGAATCAAAACTTTTTAAAAACCTGATTCAATATTGGAGTTACCTTTGCACGCCGAAGAAAGGATGACACCATGTCACCACAGCGGAATGAACCGACAACTATTGAAGAATATGTTTTACACAGCGAATGCCCTTCTAGCTGCAACCCAGTACTGGGAAACACCCATACATCTCATTCACACAGACACTCATACACTACATCAAATTAAATAAATTATTTAATTAAATTAAATTAAATTAAATAAAACCCATATTTAATACATAATACAAACAGGCTTTTATATTTGTACACCACAAGCTGAGAATGTCACAGTGGCCTAAAAAACTCCCACTTGGAACCAGTTTCAGTTCTCCAGCATTTTATGGTATCATTACACAACAGACAATAGAGAAAGGCACTCGTGAAACAAAAGTGTGTTGCAGCGGCGGCGCTTTGAACTCGCAGCATTATGAGGAATGTTGAGGCTCAACCACAGGAGGAATGTAGAGTCAGACAAAACAACTCCACTGCATCGCCAGAACTCCCATTTATCTTTTTAAATAATAGAAGCTCCTGACATTTATACACAGGATACTCAAATCTGCACCCAAAACAACTGTAGCACAAGACTAACAGTGTTTCACCACAAATGATGACATAAGAAAGGATTTAAAAATTATTCAGTAAAAAAAATAAATAAATGGTATTTAAAAATGCATTCAAACAGTTCTCTTGGCTAGTTTTAACCAGCAGATAGTGCTCTAGGCTCATTTTAACAGCATATGTGCTCTAGGCTAGTTTTTAACAGCAGATGTGCTCTAGGAAAATTTTTAACTGCAGATGGCGCTCTAGGCTAGTTTATAACAGCAGTTGGCACTCTAGGCTAGTTTTTGACAGCAGTTGGCGCTCTAGGCTAGTTTTTTAACAGTAGACAGTGCTCGACTGTTTTTTTTTAACAGCAGATGGCACTCTAGGCTAGTTTTTGACAGCAGTTAGTGCTCTAGACTATGTTTTAGCTGCAGACGTGTTTTATGCTAGTTTTTCAACAGCAGACGACACTCTAGACTAGTTTATAATAACAGACAGTGCTCTGTGCTCATTTTTAACAGCATACAGCACTCAAGGCTAGTGTTTAACAGCAGATGTGCTCTAGACTTGTTTTTAACAGCAGATGACGCTCTAGAACAGTTTTTAACAGCAGACGGCACTCTAGGCTCGTTTATAACAACAGATGGCGCTCTAGACTAATTTTTAACAGCAGACGGTGCTCTAGACTTGTTTTTTAAACAGCAGACGGCGTTCTTGACAAGTTTTTAACTGCAGATGGCTCTCTTGGCTAGTTTTTAACAGCAGATGTGCTCTAGGCTAGTTTTAAACAGCAAATGGCGCTCTTGGCTAGTTTTTTTTAACAGTAGACGGCGCTCTTGACAAGTTTTTAACAGTAGATGTGCTCTAGGCTAGTTTTAAACAGCAAATGGCGCTCTTGGCTAGTTTTTTAACAGTAGACGGCGCTCTTGGCTAGTTTTTAACAGTAGACGGCGCTCTTGGCTAGTTTTTAACAGTAGACGGCGCTCTTGGCTAGTTTTTAACAGCAGTTGGCGCTCTAGGATAGTTTTTAACAGCAGACGGCACTCTAGGCTAGTTTTTAACAGCAAAGGGGCTCTAGGCTAGTTTTTAACAGTAGACGGCGCTCTTAGCTAGTTTTTTGAACAGCAGATGTGCTCTAGGCTAGTTTTTAACAGCAGATGTGCTCTAGGCTTGTTTTTTTAACAGTAGACGGCGCTCTTGGCTAGTTTTTAACAGCAGTTGTGCTCTAGGCTTGTTTTTTTAACAGTAGACGGCACTCTTGGCTAGTTTTTAACAGCAGATGTGCTCTAGGCTTGTTTTTTTAACAGTACATGACGCTCTTGCCAAGTTTTCAACTGCAGACGGCGCTGTTGGCTAGTTTTTTAACAGCAGACGGTGCTCTTGGCTAGTTTTTTAACAGTAGACGGCGCTCTTGACAAGTTTTTAACAGTAGATGTGCTCTAGGCTAGTTTTAAACAGCAAACGGCGCTCTTGGCTAGTTTTTTAACAGTAGACGGCGCTCTTGACAAGTTTTTAACAGTAGATGTGCTCTAGGCTAGTTTTAAACAGCAAATGGCGCTCTTGGCTAGTTTTTCAACAGTAGACGGCGCTCTTGGCTAGTTTTTAACAGTAGACGGCGCTCTTGGCTAGTTTTTAACAGTAGACGGCGCTCTTGGCTAGTTTTTAACAGCAGTTGGCACTCTAGGATAGTTTTTAACAGCAGACGGCACTCTAGGCTAGTTTTTAACAGCAAAGGGGCTCTAGGCTAGTTTTTAACAGTAGACGGCGCTCTTAGCTAGTTTTTTGAACAGCAGATGTGCTCTAGGCTAGTTTTTAACAGCAGATGTGCTCTAGGCTTGTTTTTTTAACAGTAGACGGCGCTCTTGGCTAGTTTTTAACAGCAGATGTGCTCTAGGCTTGTTTTTTTAACAGTAGACGGCGCTCTTGGCTAGTTTTTAACAGCAGATGTGCTCTAGGCTTGTTTTTTTAACAGTAGATGACGCTCTTGCCAAGTTTTCAACTGCAGACGGCGCTGTTGGCTAGTTTTTTAACAGTAGACGGCGCTCTTGGCTAGTTTTTAACAGCAGTTGTGCTCTAGGCTTGTTTTTTTAACAGTAGACGGCGCTCTTGGCTAGTTTTTAACAGCAGATGTGCTCTAGGCTTGTTTTTTTAACAGTAGATGACGCTCTTGCCAAGTTTTCAACTGCAGACGGCGCTGTTGGCTAGTTTTTTAACAGCAGACGGTGCTCTTGGCTAGTTTTTAACAGCAGATGATGCTCTAGGCTAGATTTTCTAACAGCAGACGGCATTCCAGGCTAGTTTTTTAACAGCAGATGATGCTCTAAGCTAGTTTTTTTTAATAGCAGACAGCGTTCTAGGCTAGCTTTTTAACAGCAGATGGTGCTCTTGGCTAGTTTTTAACAGGAGATGTGCTCTAGGTTAGTTTTTATGTGCAGACGTTGCTCTTGGTAGTTTTTAACAGCAGATGGTGCTCTAGGCTAGTTTTTTTAACAGCAGACGGCGTTCTAGGCTAGCTTTTAACAGCAGATGGTGCTCTTGGCTAGTTTTTAACAGCAGACGACACTCTAGGCTAGTTTTTAACTGCAGATGGTGCTCTTGGCTAGTTTTTTACAGCAGACAGCGCTCTACTTATTTTTTAACAGCAGACAGCACTCTAGGCTGGTTTTTAACAGCAGTTGGCGCTCTAGGCTAGTTGTTTTAACAGTAGACAGAGCTCGACTAGTTGTTTAACAGCAGACGGCACTCTAGGCTAGTTTTTAACAGCAGTTGACGCTTTAAACTAATTTTTAACAGCAGTTAGCGCTCTAGACTAGTTTTTAACAGCAGCCATGCTCTAGGCTAGTTTTGTAACAGCAGATGACACTCTAGGCTAGTTTATAATAACAGATGACACTCTAGGCTAGTTTATAACAACAGACAGAGCTCTAGGCTATTTTTTAACAGCAGACGGTGCTCTAGACTTGTTTTTAACAGTAGATGATGCTCTTGACTAGTTTTGAAATTCGCTTAAACCTATCCTAACTTTTTAAATTTTTATTTTAGGTTCAAGTGTTATTTGTAAGCGCCACCTGCTGTTCGATTCAAAAGAGAACAGTGGTGCATTTTGAAAATCTAAAAACTGATCCGGAATTGATTTTGCAAACAATTTTTCACCCCAGCTTGAGAAAACAGTGTCTAAAAGTACTAACCACCCAGACAGAGTGTCCGGAGTCTGGTGTGAGCCAGCTGGATGTCTGCAGGCGAAGGCATTTCTTCTCCGAGATCCACAATCACACACAGCTGCTGTCCGCCAAACAGCACCAGCTCCAGATTCCTGCAGATCACAGATTCATGATCAATGGCTGACTGCTAAACAGGGCATCACATTTATCTAGAAGGAATCAACGTGCCAAACCTGATGTCGTCCTTCTCATGGTAGATGTTGTTTTGGAAGCTGGCCATTCGTAGCAAGTCACTGCCACGAGGATGCCGCCAGCACCATCGCTGAGGAGAAGTAAATTAATTATAATAAATTTGCTTCTGTATTAAAAAAAAGAGTTTTATGTACAGTTTAACAAGCAGTTTTGTAATACGGTTTTCCCGTAAGATGAAGTTCAGAAGACTAACAGCCAAGTTAGCATGTGTCTATTATGTCATAAAAGTGCAGATCAGAGGGTCGACTCCAGTGATTTCATTTAAAATCTTTACAAATATATCTACGAAAAATAAAAAGACTACACTACCTGACAAAAATCTTGTGGCTTATCCAAGTTTTACTAACAACAAATAATAACTCAACTTCTTGTTGATTATTTGGTATCAGAAGTGGCTTATATGAAAGGCGAAGGCCTCTAGGTTATGCTTATTTTACAAAAATAAAATACAATCATTCCTTGCTGTTTAATGATTTAATTAGGACAGTAAGATCAGACTTTGCTTAGGCAAAAATAATGTACAGTATAGAATATAAAGTCATGCTGCAGTGGAACAATGTGTATTCCTTTCCTTCTTAGTCTCCACTTTCCTTCCTAATCTGCAATTGCCTCTCTGGCTCCACCACTAACTGTATTACAAAAAATAAATAAATAAAATTACTAATGTTTTGCTTCTTAAACTTTACATACCTGAAACTTGCCTACAGCACTTATTTGTTGTTGCTCTTATATTTGTGTAAATTGCTTCCTTGTCCTTATTTGTAAGAAGCGTCTGCTAAATGACTAAATGTAAATGTAATATAAATGTGTATGACTCCCATGAGCTTAGAGGACTGCATCCATACATCTCTGCAATGACTCAAATCACTTATTAATAAAGTCATCTGGAATGGCAAAGAAAGTGTTCTTGCAGGACTCCCAGAGTTCATCAACATTCTTTGGATTCATCTTCAATGCCTCCTCCTTCATCTTACCGCAGACAAGCTCAATAGTGTTCAAATCTGGTGACTGGGTTGGCCAATCCTGGAGCACCTTGACCTTCTTTGCTTTTAGGATCTTTGATGTGGAGGTTGAAGTATGAGAAGGAGCGCTATCCTGCTGAAGAATTTGCCCTCTCCTGTAGTTTGTAATGTGATGGGCAGCACAAATGTCTTGATACCTCAGGCTGTTGATGTTGCCATCCACTCTGCAGATCTTTCGCATGCCCCCATACTGAATGTAACTCCAAACCATGATTTTTCCTTCACTAAACTTGACTGAATTCTCTGAGAATCTTTGGTCCATGCTGGTTCCAGTAGGTTTTCTGCAGTTTTTGTGATAATTGGGGTGCAGTTCAACAGATGATTCATTGGTAAAATCTACCTTCTGCCACTTTTCCAAATGATCAACTACTGTAGAAGTCAAGTTATTATTTGCTGCTCTTACAACTGGGATCGACAACAAGCCTTTTATCAGGTAGTGTACATCTTAAACTATGATTTCCGTATGAACGCTCTCAGGATTTTACTCCTTTTAAGGAGTTAATATTCTTCCTGCTCTGGGGCCTTGGTTGAGTAGTATTTGTATTTTCACTTATAGCAACAATACAAAGAATCCTAAAAACTAAATTTTATTCAGAATGTTTTTCAGCGAAGACACATTTATTTTAATGTTTTGTTTGAAGTGGGATGGTGTTTTGTAGATGCGTGTCAGAATGAACTCACTGGGATTCGTCCTTCATTGAAGTGGGCGAATGTTTTCTTGAGCTCCGTGTCTAGAACTCTCTGAGGAACCACATTGAATCTTGGCAGACTACAAGAACACAGAAGGGGGAAAAAATGGAGCAGTTTCCACATGGAACATACTGTAATGATTGCAAACATGATATTATGTGGTGAGCTCACTGTAAATGGAGCAAAAATAGATTTAATGGGAAAGTTCACCCCAAAATAAATATGATGTCAATATTTAAATCCTCAACACATTTGTTATTTTTTGAAACACCCATTAAGGTATTTGGTACAGTATGATGATCCATAGACAGCAAGCAATGGCACAAAATCATTGAAAGTCAAGAAACGTGGTTCAGTGCTTTAATCTGAACATCATGATGCTAAGAGAATACTTTTGTGTGCAAGTAAAAAAAAACTTGATTCAACAGTATAGAGCACTCATTCAAGAACTTTATTACAGGCTGTTATCTAAGACTGAATAGTTTTATTCTGTGAAAACAACCAACCTGAATATTCTTTATCCCATTTATTACACTATTTGCCACAAAATGTACAAACTAGACACAAAATACTGTTCTGGGCCGTAATAATTTATTAATCCTTCAATTAAACGCAAAGCTGACAGAAACGAAAACAGCTGGAATACACACTAACAGCCTATTCACACGGGGCATCAGCGTCAACGCTTCCTATTCACTTTGAATGGGTGATGTCAGGCGTTAATGAATTGCAATGTGGATCCGTTGGCGCTGCTTCAGTGGCGTTGCTCACTGCAGAAGTTGGGACTGTCTCAACTTTTCAAGCGCCGACGAAAGCGTCAGCCAATCAGATCGATGTATGCAAATACACCTGCTCAGACAGTAGCCAAATGCTAAGGCCAGACAGAATCTGTCGAAAATGTTTGCTATTTCTGCTGAGAATTTTGTGAATTTTGTGAGTTATTTTGGGAGTAACTAAAATGTAATAAATGAAATAAAAACTTTTATAATTTTTTTACTTTTATTTAATGTTTACAATGCAAATCTAATTATATCCACTTATTTGATAAATGAAGCAAGTCTCTTATATAATATATGTACAAAAAAACAGAACATATTACTTTACAAACTGTATTGTAAATAAATCAAATGAAAACTTTCATATTAGTCAATTGTATTACTGAAATCAATTTAAAAACAGAATAAATGTAAATTTACACAAGTAAATAAATAGACTCAATGATGGGCAAAAAAATTGCTGAAATCTGCAGATTTCTGCGCGTGCAGATTCCGTTTGGGCCTACGGATTGCTGACTAATTTCATTGGCTGACACTGCTATGACGATCGTGTCAGCCCCAATTTCAGACTGTCAAGGGTAGACGCTGAAGCCGTGTTTGAATCGAGCGTTACTTGGACATTATTCGTTCACAAGAAAAAAACATTTGAACGTGAATGTATAAGGACACGTGGATGCAAGTATATTGATTTAAATGTTTTGACAGAAGGTCAAGGTTATTTAAAGTTCCCAGATGAGACTGTGTTATTTTGTGATTGTTTTCTTGGGATAACATCACTTGTAATGTTGCGACTGACCAATCAGAATTGAGTATTTCAGACAGCTGTGCAATGAATAAGTAAAGTAAACTTATTTAAAACCTAAAACAAGATTATGTATTATGAAGATTACTTGCATACTGGCAGATTATTTGGCTTGTTTTCAGGAAAAAGTTTTTTAATTTTTACTTATTATTTCTGAAAACAAAACAATATTTATTATTTTTATGTAAAAAAATGATATTATATTATATTTTTTAATTTAAAAATACTTTTTGATTAAAGTTTTTTGAGATGTTTGGACTAGACAAAACAAGACAAAAGAATAGTTCTTTTTCTGTTGCAGTCTATGGAGGATGAGGGAGCTCTCAGATTTCACCTAAAATATCTTAATTTGTGTTCTGAAGATGAACGAAGATCTTGGGAGGGTTGTAAGACATGAGGGTGAGTTATGAACATCAATGCATATATGTTTTTAAAAGAATCTCTTATGCTTACCTGGGCTACTTTTTAAATAAACAATTGCACAAAAAAACTGTAATATTGTGAAATCTTCTTAAAACAACTGTGTTCTATTTAAATACATTGTAAAATACATTGTGAAGCAAAGCTGAAATTTTAGCATCCATTAGTCCAGTCTTATGAATTGCCCCAATCAGCTTAAATCTGTTGTTCGTTACACATCATCCTTTCTGGTTCTAAACACACCAGATGACAATAACAAACAACAAATGTTACTAACATACCATCAATGTATAATCTCAGATCTCAGGCAATGGTTCTGTATCTATAAATTGTAATAATATTGCTAGGTACACCTTGCTAGCTAGTCCCTTGATTATTATGCCAGAATGAGAGAATAGTTTCTAGCCATATCGACTTTTCATTTTCTGTTGGTCTAAGTACACAATTTAACTAAAGAAAGCTCAAGCTTTAAATAGAAAAATCATCAAAAATCTTTTTGGAATTTTTGGAGAATTCCTTAGATGCTAATGGTCTAATCTGATTTAATGATTTATGCTAAGCTAAGCTTAAAGTGCTCCTGCATATTGACCTGAAGATTGCTTGAATGGATTAAAAACTGGTAAAACTCAACCTTTTAACTCTTGGGGACTTGTACAATGAGCCTATTTCCAAATAAAGTGGAGTGTTTCTTTAAAAAGTGGATAACAGAACACTGCCTACTGTCATCATGTCTAAAATGTGGAAATAAGTTCATACTAGTCTGAGCTTTCAGGAGCTCTGAAAGCCAATCTGTACCTGGTTGACATTTCAAAGCGGTCATTGACAGAGCTGACCCTCCATCTCAGGCAATGCTTCATATAAATTGTTAAAATCTTGCTAGTTACACCTTGCTAGCTAGTTCTTTGATTATTATGCCAGAATAAGAGTATAGTTCCTGGCCGTATCCACCTGAAAAACAAAAACTTTTAATTTTTCTGCTGGTCTTAGTACACAATGTAACTACAGATCAACTTAAAGATCAAGCTTTAAGTAGAAAACTGAAAAAATTGAGAGATGCTAATGGTCTAATCTGATTCAATGACTTATGCTAAGCTAAAAATGCCCCTGATGTACCCAGAGATTGGCTGAATGGATTAAAAACTGGTAAAACTCAACCGTTTAGCTCTAGGGAACTAATACAATAAGCCTATTTCCAAAAAAAGTGGAGTGTCCCTTTAACAAGTGAATAATAAAACACTGCCTATGTCGATGCAATAGCCTAGTGGTTAGCGTGTCGACATATGGTGCAGTAGCACGTCAGGGTGTCCTGTGCTCGAATCCCACATTGAGGACATTTCCCTACCCCCCTCTGTCTCTCCAACTTTGCTTCCTGTCTAAATACTGTCCAATCTAAAAAAAGGCCAAAAATAAATCTTTAAAAAAAAGAAAGAAAAAAAAACACTGCCTATAGTCATCATGTCTAAAATGTGGAAAAGAGTTCATACTAATCTGAGCTCAGGCAGTCTGAAAGCAAATCTGTACCTGATGGACATTTCAAAGCGGTCATTGACAGAGCTGACCCTCCATCTCAGGCAATGCTTCATATAAATTGTTAAAATATTGCTAGTTACACCTTGCTAGCTAGTCCTTTGATTATTATGCCAGAATAAGAGTATAGTTCATGGCTATATCCACCTGAAAAATAACAACTTTTCATTTTCTGTTGGTCTAAGTACACAATGTAACTACAGAAAGCTTTAAGTAAAAAAAATCAACATTCTTTTTGAGAGATGCTAATGGTCCAATCTGATTCAATGATTTATGCTAAGCTAAAAGTGTTACCGACAGACCCAGAGATTGGCTTAATAGATTAAAAAATGGTAAAACTTAATCATTTAGCTCTAGGGGACTTGTACAATTTCCAAATTCAGTGGAGTGTTCCTTTAACAAGTGGATTTCAGAATACTGCCAACAGTCATCATGTCTTAAAAGTGGACAAGAGTCAATACTAATCTGAGCTCTGGAGGTCTGAAACCCAAACTGTACCTGGTGGACATCTCAAAGCGGTCATTGACAGAGCTGACCCTCCATCCGCTGGCACCCGTCCTCTCCAGCTCCTGCTCCCATCCCAGCGAACACTCCAACCAGTTCATGCTGGGGTCACGCCGCCTGTTGCTTAGAAACTGCTTCATTTCTATAGACAGCCAGAGGGAGGCAATGAACGTTTGTATTGGTTACAGGTTCTAGTTTTGCGTGTGAAACCTCCTGAGAGCCACAAAATTCAATTTGCAAGCTGACTTGGTGCAATGAACATGAATTGACTACAAACAAACCTCGACAAGGTTGAAAAAGGGCTAGAAGGTGACCTGCTTCAGATTACTTTCCATTATTCATCTGGTGGATGGTCACTTTCCCTCTCAGAGACGTGCCTAAGCTCACATTTCCTTCTATGATTCATTCCAATGTCAAATTTTGATTGTGGGTCACACAGCTAGGGCAGTTGTAACACATATAAGTTAAAATCTGGAAAAAATAGTTGAGCCACCATAGGAGATAAATATTTAAAAGGATAGGATAGAACCAGAAATAAAAATGTACTCACTTTTTACCCACCTTTAATTTTTTAAAAACTTTTGAGGGTTCTTTTTTCTGTTGAACACGAAAGAAGGTATTTTGAAGAAAGTTGAAAACCGGTAACCATTGACTTTCAACTAATTCTATCAAAGTCAATGGTTACAGGTTTCCAACATTTTTCAAAATATTTTCTTTTGTGTTTAACAGAAGAAAGAAACTCGTAAAAGTTTGAAACAAGTAAAAGGTGAGTGAATGATAACAGAATTTTCCGTTTTAGGTGATCCCTTTAATTCAAGAGATAAAATACAAGGATTTATTTACATAAAAGCAATGAAGGAATGTTTTTACACCGAATATAAGAGAAATTATAAAATGTATATAATTGTGTAAAAATACTACTAAAATTAATAATAATATCGAGTTAATCTGCTGTTTTTGTTACATGCTCTCATTCATACACATACAAAAACACTACCCAACAAAAGTCTTGTCTTCAATTCCAGATATAAGAGCAACAAATAATAACTTGACAGATTTTTCTGATGAATCATCTATTGAACTGCATCCCAATAATCACAAATACTGCAGAAGACCTAATGGAACCCGCATGAACTCAAAATTCTCACAGAAATCAGTCAAATTTGGTGAAGGAAAAATCATGGTTTGGGGTTACATTTAGTATGGGGGCGTGCGAGAGATCTGCAGAGTGGATGGCAACATCAACAGCCTGAGGTATCAAGACATTTGTGTCATACTTCAGCCTCCACAACAAAGTTCTTGAAAGCATAGAAGATCAAAGAGCTCAGCCAGCCCAGTCACCAGACATGAACATTATTGAGCATGTCTGGGGTAAGAGGAAATAGGAGGCATTGAAAATGAATCCAAAAACTCTGGGAGTCCTGCAAGACTCTTTCTTTGCCATTCCAGATGATTTTATTAATAAGTTATTTTAGTCATTGCAGAGATGTATGGATGCAGTCCTCCAAGCTCATGGGAGTCATACACAATATTCATTCTTTTTCCACTGCAGCATGACTTTATATACTATACTGGACATTATTTCTGTTAGGTGACAGGACTTTTGTCTTAGCAAGGTCAGACCTTACTGTCTTAATTAAATCATTAAAAATCAAGGCATGATCATATTTTATTTTGGTAAAATAAGCATAATCTAGAGGTCTTTCTAATAAGCCAATTCTGATACCAAATGATCAACTAGAAGTCAAGTTATTATTTGTTGTTCCTAAAACTTGAATAGGCAACAAGACTTTTGTCAAGTAGTGTATACGTGTATTTTTAATCATAGAATGTATCACCACACCTATGTTCAACAATAATACAGATATAAAACTCAAAATCTGACATCAACATCTGAAATGTACAATAAACGCCTTCATGTTTGTGCACTTTTACTGTAAATGTTGCACATATTTTCCTAAAACATCTGTTGAAGAGTGCATCATCTGGAATGTGTTGCATTTTAATTATTATATGCAATAGATAAATCACATTTACATATTATTGTAATTACAACCACCGCAGAAACATCTGCTGACAACCCTCAGGAAACGTTTTGGAGAAACAGCTGATTTTTCACATCAGACAGATGTGAAGAACAGGATTTGCTCCCTCACGTTTATCCGTTGCAATATAATGATTTTAGCATTGATTATTAATAACTCACCGATACTCCCCAAAGCAGCATTCTGAAAGGAGAGGATGGTGCCAGGTTTCAATGGCTGGTAGGTTTTAGCAATGGTGTACGTGATCTGAAAGCAGGGGAAAGCAGTTGTTTTGAGTGTGAAATGTCTGCATTTAAACTTTCCCTCAAGAAATTCATGTTTTTTTTCAGCAGGCATGTGTTATACACTACCGGTCTAAAGTTTGGGGTTGAATTTTCAGCTTCATTACTCCAGTCTTCAGTCACATGATCTTTCACAAATCACTCTAATATTTTATTATTATTATTATTATTATTATTATTACTATTATTTTTATTATTATTTTTATTAATGGTAATACTAATAAGCAATAATGACTGTAAGTAATAACTTAATTTGAAACTACATACTATAAGAAAGCAGTTATTCAAAATATTAATAAATATTTAACAATTTATTTACATTTAATAAAGTCATTGTGAAGAACGTAATAATTTTCTTTAAAAAAAAAACAAAAAACATGAAAAAAATATATAAAACAGACCCCAAACGTTTGACCGGTAGTGTATCTGCAAACTGGGACAGCAAATACATTTTTAATGTTACAAAATATTTCTAATTGAAATGAGGTATGTGCACACAGACTTTTAATTTCAGTCAGCCAGCCCCAGGCCATTAATTGTCATTCATACAAAATTGCCACGTTTGAGATCAGATTTTTTTAATAAAACAGCCATCTTCACGGCCTGCCTGAGATACAACATAAAGTGGGTCTAAGACCAAACAAGAACTGCATTCAATTATATTTATCTGTGCCTTATCTTTAAAATATGGAAATTAATTTTACCCCAGTATTTTCAATAGAGCTTCTGTGCTAGCCTGCGGCTAATGACGGCGCCTGCATTTAATCCAGGGGTGTCCAAACTTTTTGGGCTGAGGGCCAGATGCAAAAAAAAAAAAAACATTGTCCCGGGCCAAATTTTAGCGGAATGAACCGCCAACTTATCCAGCACGTTTTTTTTACGCAGCGGATGCCCTTCTAGCCGCAACCCATCTCTGGGAAAAAAATAAATAAATAAATTAAAAAAAAAAAAAAAAAAAAAAAAAAAATATATATATATATATATATATATATATATATATATATATATATATATATATATATAAGGGTTTCCTGTGCTGTGCGATTAGCTGAGCCACCTCATAATAACTAGCCAGCGTAGAATTTTCTTGCACTTTATTAGTACGAAAAAACTGCTGTTGTTGAGCTGATGAGCCAGCTGCTAATTGTTTTACTTTTTGATCTTGTTCAGCACCAGTGTAAGAGCTGAAGGCATGATGTTTTGTTTCATAATGTCATTTAATATTATATTCCTTCATTACTGCAACTGATTCCTAAAATTAAACAGACACATATTCCACTGACCTCTGTGAAGAAATATTCTTTGCCCCAACATGACTGAATTTTCCTGCACTCACTGTTGATTTTCCTTTTTCTTGCTTGTGCCATGGATCGCCAAAACGTGACTATCAATTATGTTTCCTTCAGTTTGTTCGGTTCGTTTTACTTCATAACAGGAACTGCTGCCTAATTGAAGGCATGTAATAGCGACACCCCGTGGTTACTTATTGAATTACATAAATTTTTGTATAGCGGGCCAGATTTTTTAAATATTTATAAAATCCCTGCGGGCCGCCACAAAACTGATTGGGCTATAGTTTGGACAAACCCTGGTTTAAACAGTCTTTTGTCTCTTTTTGCGATTTAACAACCAATGGATGCTTAAGCCTATTTAACTGATTATTTTTGAATTACATTACAACATCGATGCTGTAAAAGGAACCTTATGAAAATAAAAATCTTCACATAAAGCTTTCACTGGAAGTTTATTATTGGCTTAAAAACACTAGTTGTGCATATAGCCCATTAAAAGTCAAGGTTTCAAGCAAAATATTCAACTGTTGTCAATATTGAAGACAATATTAAATTCTCCTTGAGCAAATCAGCATATTAGAATGATTTCTGAAGGATCGTGGGAAAGATTGGAGTAATGATGCTGAAAATTTTCACAAATACATGACATTTAAACATACAGTTGAAGTTTGAAGAGTAATTTGTTTTTCCTTTTCAAATATTTCCTAAATGATGTTCAACAGAGCAAGGACATTTTCACAGTATGTCTGATAATGTTTTTTCTTCTGGAGAAAGTCCTATTTGTTTTATTTGGGCTAGAATAAAAGCAGTTTTTATTTTTTTTAAAAACCATTTTAAGGTAAATATTATTAGCCTACTTAAGCAATATTTTCTAATTGTCTACAGAACAAACCATCGTTATACAATAACTTGTCTAATTACCCAAATTACTTTTCAACCACAGTAGTTAAGCCTTATATTTTGTCAGGTAGTGTATAGATGTATTTTTAACAATAGAATGTATTACCACTTCTATGTTCAACAATAATACAGATATAAAACTCATTCCCTAACATGCTGATGTACTGTAAGCTGAATTCTAGTATCTTGGAAAATATCTAGTAAAATATTATTTACTGTCATCATGGCAAAGATAAAATAAATCAGTTATTAGAGATGAGATATTAAAGCTATTATTATTGTTTAGAAATGTGTTGAAAAAATGTTCTGTCCATTATAATAATAATATAATGCTAATAATTTAACTATTAAATACAAAACAGACAGTATTAATTATTACATATTTTTCTTCTTTTTACTGTATTTTTACACCAAATAAACACAGCCTTTATACCAGATCACAAACTCTAACTGAGCCCAAATTTTTTAATTGTTTTTTAAATCTGGCTTTACATTTTTTTCTTATATAGTAGGAAACATACCTCTACAGCTTGAGTATCAGGCGTGAGTCTGTCGAAGAGAAAGCAGAGGACCCGCAGATCTCGACAGTACAACACCAGTTCCTCTGGAGTGAACTTCAGAGAGCAGGTCGGGGTCACTAGTTTGGTGCGAGATGGTCCCACTACAACACACATTGAAATGCATTACAGTCAGCAGTGAACTTAAAGGCATGGTGGGTGTGATTTTGCCAAGTACGATGCGATGCTGGATTAACATCTATGTTGATCCTGGAACATCATTTTTGTTGGAAATTGTAATCCAGACCTATTCCTACCCCTAAACCCAACCATAACTGTAAATTATTCCCAAAATCAGAGGGGAATAAGAGTTGGATAACAATCATGTAAAACTATTAGGGATGTAACGGTATCAGAATGTCACGGTAGGGTAATACCTCGGTATAAATGGCACGGTACTGTATTTATTGAGTAATTTACAGGAAAACAAAACTAATGAAAATACTCGAAAAAAGTGCCAAAAGTGTTTATTTACCTTAGCACTGAACATATCAATGACATACAAATTAGCCATCTATCTGTAAGTTTCGAAACAGGAACTTCAATTTTTCAATTTTAATAATAAAAAAATATAAAACCATTTAGAAAAAATAAAGTTTCAATTTAGTATTGTTGGAAACTCATCACATTCAACATTTAATCACTCACTTAGATAGAGATGGGTTTTATTTTAAGGAAAATTATCATATAACTATAATCTGGTAAAAGCTGGTATCTCTGGGTATTTACAATGTCCCCTGCAACAGAAAAAAACCCTCTCACTTAGGACAAAGGTTTCTGGGACAGAGAGATATGATTTAGCCAAGGTTGACAGCAGTGGGTAACGTTGTGCATTGTCTTTCCACCACTTGAGAGGACAAGCCATGAGTGAGATAGGGGTCTCTTTGCAGTACAAGCCAATGTCTGCATCAATCTAACAAGTGCGCTGTGTTCTGCAGTCCCCATGACTGTTTTTAGTTGTATTCCCCGACTTATATTTCACCACAGTCTGGCAGTGCCTGCACACTGTTTTTTTCTTTGTCTGTCACCTTTTCTCCTTTTTCGTATCTTTTTAAAAAGAAACCGAAATGCTTCCACACATCCGATTTAAAACCCGCTTTATGTTCGATCATTTCCAGCTCTTTTTCTTCCCCGCTACTAGCAACACACTCCATTTCCACATTACTGGATCTGTAGTAACAACAGACCGCAAAGAATGATGGCCACGCCTAGGCTAATGGGAATTGTAGATCCCGCTACCTCCCGTTCACTTCATTCATCATGCACCTACGGTAATATTGAAAAGAATTACTATTGCGGTATGACGGTATTTACAATATAGTTACATCCCTAAAAACTATATAAACCGAACTGTAAGCCTAAACTTAACATAAACAGTAAACGTATCCCTTTATTCTGATTGGCTGAATGGAATGTTGTTCCAGAATCAACATAGATGTTAATCCAGGAACATGTCCTATTTGCTGAAATCAAGCTAACCGTAAAGGGATATAGTTCACTCAAAAATGAACATTGTCATCATTTAACTATTTCAAACCTTTTTGAGTTTCTTTCTTCTGTTGACCACAGAAGACGATACTCCAAAGAAAAAAAATCAGAAACCATTGACTTACATAGTAGGAAAAACAAATACTTTGAAAGTCAATGGTTACAGTTTTTTGTCTTTCTTATAATCAGCACTGACATATATCATACAAATCATGAAGTGTTCCTTTTTGATTCAAATGTGGCCTAAATAGATCCTCAGCAGGGTTAATGAAAGTGTGTCCATCTGTAAAGTTTTCCTCACCTGCCACGACTTTCTCAATGGAGGCAAGAGCTACATCGTGATCTCCAAGCAACACAGGATCTGCATTATCCTGAATGAGGAGAAAAGGAAGCCATTAAGATAAATACGTCTGCAGAGGATGTTACACTAGACTGCCGAAAACTTTAAAAAAAAAAAGCCAAAAGCACTTTTGAGCTTCACAGTAACGCAGACTTTACACGGAAAACAGAGAAAGTGCTGGGATTGTCATTGTGGAAACATCTCAGCAATCTGTGGTACTCACGTCAGGTTTCTGGCTGTCCTGAGGCACGAAGGCAACTCTGAAATGAGTGCAAAACAGAGTCCCAGACAACCAGCCTCCTCCTTCTTTAGCAGACAGCTTCTTCCTTACTAGAACGGCTCGCTGCAGCACACACTCTCCTGAAGAAACAGAGGAAATAAACATGATTGTTAAAAAAAATGCACATTTTGTGGCTGTAAAACATGCATGATAGATAGAAGATCAAATACAATTGATAGGTTTCAGTCAAGTGAAAGCTGTTGCTCAAAAAACAATGACCCCAACACTGGGTTTCATAGAAACAAAGCACAATCCGGTCATATTTCCATCGGTGTCAAGCTATGGTTTGACATATTTTTACCACACATCAACACAGCAAACCAGAGATATGATCACAAACTGTAAATTGTGGGCACTTGTGATCCAATTCCTGCACCCGCTGCCGCTTTCAGTCATCTAAAACCATCATGTCCCAGTCAGAGCTCCAATTCTGCAATGTTTACATTTATCTTGTGAATATCCCTCATCGATTTAGTTATCGGTGACTCAAAATACATCTAAAATGTTCCTTTATTGATAGTTATTAGTCATGTGACCTGAGCAGAGACCTGGCAGGCAAAAAAAAACAACTACAACACTGAGCTCTAATGGTAGCTACATTGGCATCTCCACAGAAACACAGCACAATCCGGTCATATTTCCATCGGTTTCAATCTGTGAATATATTTGGATCAAACATCAACAGAACAAGCCAGAGAAATGATAACAAACTGTAAATTGTGGGCACTTGTGATCCATTTCCTGCACCCGCTGCCGCTTTCAGTCATCTAAAACCATCATGTCCCTGTCAGATCTACAATTCTGCAATGTTTACATTTATCTTGTTTGTTTGTTTATTTGTTTATTTAGCAGGGACAGTGTACATTAATAAGCATTTCTGCAAATGCACCAGAATTAGCCAGAATTTTTGGCTATTTTTCATCTGTTGTCCCTGAACAACCTAAAAAAAAACAATACAAGAATTATACAATCAATCAAACATAGTTAAAAAGTACTAAAATAGACATGGTTATGTAGATGTTACTAAAAAAAAAAAAGAATATTTACAAATTAAACTAAAACACCAATATTTTGTAATAGAGATAAAATAGTTGAAACACATTTAGACAACAGATCATTAAGATGATAGGCACACATGGAAACATGCTAGTTTCAATCTAATAGGAATGATGACACGTCTGATTCTCTATAAACCAGATTTTTAAATGTTTTTTGAATATATTAAAGGATGTGGATATCGCCTCAGGGATTTAGTTATCGGAGACTCAAAAGTCAATCTAAAATGTTCCTTTATTGATAGTTTTCAGTCATTTGACCTTAGATCTGGCATTTAAAAAAAAAAAAACAATGGGCCGTAAAGGCAGCTATCCTGGGATCTCCACAAAAATGCAGCACAATCCCCAGCAGACACATAACGTCATAAAACGCTATTATTAACTTTGATTTTTGTCGCCTGCGTCCAAGGACAATGTTATTTTGACATCCAATAATGACATAAAATGACGCTGACATTGTGTTGATTTTAGGTGTGTTGAGTGACCAAAATTCTACGCCCAGCCAACATCTTAAACCAGCCAAACTCCAAATTAGATCCAAATAGCTTCAACACACCTGCCAGGAAGTTTCTAGTATATCTAGTAAGAGCTTGATTAGCTGGTTCAGGTGTATTTGATTAAGGTTGGAGCCAAACTCTACAAGACACTAGTTTTCCAGGACCAAGTTTGGACACTCCTGTCTTAAACCGACATCATATTGACGTCAAATCCTGACATTTAATCATCAGGTATGGCAACCACAATCTGTCTGATAAAAGTCTTAGTGGTAATATCCACACAACGTCAAGCTGTAACATCATTGGACGTTGATATTTAGTTTTTTTTAGGTTGCATTGAAAAGTAACCAAAATGCAACGTCTGTCCAACATTGGACATTGATATTGTCCTGACATTGGGTTCTGACGGAAAATTTTCACTTCCAAACAAAACGCAATGTCCCACAACACTGGGGTACAATCTGACGTCATGACATCCTGTGCCTGTTGGGTTCAGTCATATTTCCATTCGCTTCAAGTTATGACTATTTGGATCACATACCAACAGATCAAAACAGAGATAGGATCACAAACTGTAAATTGTGGGCACTTGTGATCCATATACTGCACCCGCTGTCATTTTTCAGTCATTTACAACAGTCATGTTCCTGTCCGAGCTACAATTCAGCGATGTTAACCTCTATCTTGTGGATATCCCTCAATGATTTAGTCATTGGTAGGCCTACACTAGCAATCTGTGCTTGCAGAAATCTGCAGATTGTTTTAGCCCATCATTGATTTGATTTGTTTACTTATGTAAATGTGTGTAAATATACATTTATCCCATTTTTATATCAATTTCAGTATTTCAAGATTCAGTATTATACTAATGTTTGTAAAAACAATACTTTTACAAAATCTTGCAACCAAGGCTCATTCTGAAAATGTAGTCCTGTGGACATTTTTGGAGAATGCGATTTATGTAGCCGAAGGTACGTATGGCTACATTTCATTTTTTTAAAGCGAACGCTATGGGGCAGTATGACGCCGTTCCTTTCAGCGCTTACCGGCTGATCGCTTACCTCCATGTGGAGGGCTTTACCGCCGCAACCAGTTTGTCCAGTTAGCTCTTCGTGTACATAGGCGGACTTGAGATGCAAGGTTCGAGTCCGGGGAAGTACAGTTACAGACATGAGGTAAGACAAAAACAAAATTCAGAGAGAATGTGGTAAAATCCTAAATCGTGGTAAAAATCAAACGAGGGCTTTTCTTTTTCTGGACAGCTTTTGTAAATTGTTGGTTGGGTTTAGGGAAGTAAGCGGCCGGGCGGGTCAATCTGTAAAATTGGTTGGGTTCAGGGAAGGAGGAGGGTTGGTCAGTCGATTGGCCGGTCGCCCAGTCAATCATTCAGCCAGTCAGACAGACGGTCGTTGGACAGTGACCTCTGGTGGGTTTACGCGAGAACAGCACAGGCGCAAAAGGCACTCGCGAGAGACATTTGAGATGCAAAAAAAGCGCACTTCGCGGCCTCCCGTGGATTCGCGAAAACAAAAACTGCAAAAATACATACCTCCCGGGACGTATTTCGTGGTCTCCTGAAACGTCCACGGGACTACGTTTTCAGAATGAGCCTGGGTTGAAATCTTGCACAGAAATTGCAAAAATTGTCCCTTGTCACTAGTGAGAGCATTACAGTGTCTGCTTTTATTTTTGGTGTGGGTTTGTTTTGTTTAGAATAATATTTGTTGGTAGAAAAAAATCTATTTGTTCACTTCTGCTATTTATATTTTGACTTTGGATTTTAATTTATTTTTATTTGCCATTGACAGTAGCACTTTATTTGAATTGGTGTTCATGAGACTGTTAGGAAACCTTTATAATCATGACATGACCCATGTCATGAACGTGAATGACGTTTTTTTGCATGCTTATAACAACTGTCATTAAGCGTCATACGCTCAGTTATGACATTTTAAATGACATGTTTATGACAACGTGACATAAATATTTCACAACCTGTTTTCGTCTTTGTCATGACATCTTGACATTACCAAGACAACAAAACTTGTCATAAATCTGTCATAAACATGATTGTAATGAAGTCATTATATGAAATCAATTTTATAACAGCGTCATTAATTTTGGGGGGGGGGGGGGGATTTCTACTACAGAACTTCATGTGAAAACTATCAAAGCTAAAAATAAGTTCAACCAAAAATGTAAATTTACTCATTATTTACTTATCCTCAAGTGTTTGCAAATCTTTATAACTTTTCCTTTTCAGTGGAACACAAAAGAAGACAATAAGAAGAATGTTAGAAACCGGTAACCACAGAAATCCAAAGAAGGAAAAACAAACACTATGGAAGTCAATGGTTACAGGTTTCCAACATTTTTCTCAATATCTTCTATTGTTTTCAACAGAAACAGGTTTGTGACAAGCAAAGGGTGAGTAAACGATGACAGAATTCTTGGTTTTGGGTGAACGATTCCTTAAACATTGACAACAAGAAAATGTGTGGCTGACCAAACTAATATCTGTGGAAAAGCACTGCACAGACATCTGGCCTTTGACTCAAATGGAAGCTTCAAAGAGGCTCTGTGGGCGATTATGGTCTCATATATAAAAGATATGTGGTATTTCAAAAACTAGCTTAAAGGAAATTGTGACTTTGTTGACATGGAACTCACAATCATTAAAAAAAAGAAGTTTAATCAGATATACATAGCCAACTGCAACTGTGGTTTAAAAGAGTTGTGGTCAGTTTTTGTTTCCTTATAAATAAATAATTGAATTAATTAATTGTTTTATTCTGAATACAACTGATCAAAAGTTATACTTCTGACACAAATGCAATAACAATGATATTAGACTTATTTATGTTTTCATTTTATTATTTGCAATCAGTTGTTGTGTCCTTGTAAATTAAATAATATTTTAATGCTCAATTCAGCTGATCAAAAGTTACAGTACAGACAGCCATGCAACATCACTTCTATTTAAATTACTTATGTTTATTTTTTTACTTTATATGTATCAAAAGGATCCTAAAACAATGTATCGGTATTAGAGCTGCTTTATATTTTTAAAAAAATAATTTACACTGTAATCTGCAATGTATATTGTGATAAGTGAACATAAGTTCACAGCATGACTTTTAATACTCTATTATGGAAAGAATTCATAATTCTAGATTGATTCTGACTATTTTGTAGGGGAGTATCGACTGTAGGTAAAATATGATTAAAATCTAACATATTAATCAATAATCATATGTAAAATAACATGGTATAGTCAATTATTCATTCATTTTTCTTCGGCTTAGTCCCTTTTTTTATCAGGGGTCGCCACAGTGGACTGAACTGCCAATTATTCTAGCTAGTTTTAGAAGCAAAGATGTTGAATTGTCATTGGTGAATTATTTTCACAAACTTTTAAGGAGGGTGTAACGGTGGCACAGTGGGTAGCAAGAAGGTCACTGGTTCGAGCCCCAGCTGGGTCAGTTGGCATTTCTGCGTGGAGTTTGCATGTTCTCCCTGTGTTTGCGT